ATCCTCCTGCCTCAGCCCCTTGAGTAGCTGATTATAGGATTCACTGCACCTGGCTCTATCTGCTTTTTTCCAAATGATCCTAAGGTTTTTCTGCTTTTATCTGCCAGTGTGATTAATGATTTTTTTCTCTTTTTTTCCCAGTGCTGGGGATGGAGCCCAGGGCATCAGGCATGTTAGGCGGGTGCTCCACCAATGAGCTAAACTCTAATTTTGTTGTTATTGTTGTTATATTTTTGAGATGGTGTCTCACCACGTTGCTCAGGTTGGCTGGCACTGAATTCCTGTGCTCAAGTGATCCTCACACTTCATCTTCCTAAGCAGCTGGGACTATAGTTTCATACCACCAGGTGGATTTTCTGATAAATTTTATGGTTACATTTCTAGGATAAACTCCACTTGGTCATGGTATAGTCTTAAAGGAAACCCAAAGCTTTTAATGGACTATGTTGCATTTTTTTAAAAATATATTTTTAGTTGTAGATGGACACATTTTTTTTTTTATTTTTATGTGGTGCTGAGGATTGAACCTAGGGTCTCGCATGTGCTAGGTGAGTGCTCTATTGCTGAGCCACAACCTCAGCCCATGCTGCATTTTTATACTGCGGGGATTGCTAAACTTTATTTTTATTTATTTATTTTTAAAGAGAGGAGAGAGAGAATTTTTTTAATATTTATTTCTTAGTTTTCGGCGGACATAACATCTTTGTATGTGGTGCTGAGGATCGAACCCGGGCTGCACGCATGCTAGGCGAACGTGCTACTGCTTGAGCCACATCCCTAGCCCTAAACTTTAAAATTATCTATCTAGAATTGAAACACTGAGCCACATCTCCAGCTCTTTTTATATTTTGAGATAAGGTCTCACCCAGTTGCTTAGGGCCTCACTAAGTTGCTGGCTTTGAACTTGGTATCCTCCTGCCTCAGCCTTCTGAGTTGCTGGGATTATAGGTGTGCCACCATTCCTGGCAAAAGTATTTATACTGAGTTAAATCAATCATGTTTCTCTCATGTGCTGTCTAGGTTTAGTGTAAGGATTGTATTGGCCTTTCAGAATGAAGGGAAATAACATTTTTTAAATATTTGTTTTATAAATTGAGATAACCCTTTTTACTTTGGTAGATCTTTGTAAATTTTGACATGGTTTTCTTTGTAACTTTTAACTATTATTTCAATGTGTTTCAGTTATTTAAACTTTCATATTTCTTTGTGAGTCAGCAGTAAGTTAATAGTTTTTCTAGGAATTTTTTTGGTCAACATTTTCAAAAGTTTATCCTGTGAATGAGTGACCAAAATCTGCCTTATCCAACAAATGTTATCTCCAAGTCTTAGTTGCATTTCCCTCAAATTAATTACAAGATTTAAAATTGTATAATCAGAGTCTATTTCTCTGGTGCTTTTTGTGCAGATGGCCTGAACTGAGTTACACTTTACATCTAAATGAGAACTGTACTTTGCCTGATGATTGTGTTCACTAGTCTGCAAACTGTTAATCTGTGTTGTTAGCAAGGATTTTTAACATATGCTCGCTTAGCCTCCAGCAAACATATAGCAGGATGGTGGGGTCACTTCTTATTGTCTGACTTTGTACTCTATCTTTATCACCAATGCTTAACAAAGCCTTGGGCATATACACAGGTTCCAAATAAACGTTGGCTGAATATCCCAATCAGAGTTTAGGAGGATTGAGCCCTGTATAGAATCAGATAGAGGCAATAAACAACACAACAAAGAGACCTATTGCATTTCTTCTTTCCAGGCGGTAGAAAGAGTCCTGTACCCACACCTGTCTACTTACTGGACAAACCTGCAGGCTGTGCTGGATGATTATTCCGTATCTAATGCTCAGGTCAAAGCAGATGGACACAAAGTTTATGGAGCCATTCTGGTGAGTATCAACCCCTTCTAGCCTCCTTCCCCGGAATGAGCTCAGCACGCTTACTTTGTAGTACTTGATGGGCTTAGGCTCATCCTTGTCCCTTCCTCTTACAGGTGGCTGTAGAGCGCCTGCTGAAGATGAAGGCTCAAGCCGCCGAGTCCAGCGCGGGTGGCCCAGGCGGCATGGGGTTCCGGCGTTCGGAAGACCTGCCTTGGGACAGCCTTCTCCTTCAGGAGTCTCCTTCCGGGGGCGGTGCAGAGCCAAGCTTTGGGTCTGGTCTTCCGCTGCCACCAGGGGGAGCGGGGCCTGAGGACCCTTTTCCCTCAGTGACCCTGGCGGACATCTACCGTGAGCTCTACGCCTTCTTCGGTGACAGCTTGGCCATCCGCTTTGGCACGGGCCAGCCTGCGCCCACTGCCCCGAGGCCGCCCGGGGAGAAGAAAGAGCCGGCAGCCGCCCCGGACTCGGTGCGGAAAATGCCGCAGCTGACGGCCAGTGCCGTGGTCAGCCCGCAGGGTGACGAGAGCCCCCGGGGCGGCGGCGGTCCCCCGTCGGCCTCGGCGCCCGCGCCCTCTGAGGGCAGGCCTCTGCCGCGCGTGCACCGGGCTCGGGGAGCGCCCCGGCAGCAGGGCCCAGGCGCCGGCACGCGCGACGTCTTCCAGAAGAGCCGTTTTGCCCCGCGCGGCGCCCCCCACTTCCGTTTCATCATCGCCGGGCGGCAGGCCGGGCGGCGCTGCCGCGGGCGCCTCTTCCAGACTGCCTTCCCCGCGCCCTACGGGCCCAGCCCGGCCTCCCGCTATGTGCAGAAGCTGCCCATGATCGGCCGCACCGGCCGCCCGGCACGCCGCTGGGCGCTGTCGGACTACTCGCTGTACCTGCCACTCTGAGGCTGCCCGTCCCCGCCTCCCAAATAAATGTCGCGCCCGGAAGTGATGGCTCCGCGTCCATGGGTCGCGCCGGATGAGGCGGGGCTGGGCGGCTGGCTCCGGGGCCTGGGCGCCATGGCGCTACCCTGGCTGCAGCGCGTCGAGCTCGCGCTCTTCGCCGCCGCCTTCCTGTGCGGCGCGGTGGCGGCCGCGACGCTCACCCGGACCCAGGTGCGGCTGGGGGCGGGGCCGGGCGGGTGGCCACGCGGGCTGCGACTCTGGCCCGGCGACGGCTGGCCTGCGGATGAAATGCAGCGACGCTCGCCGTGCCCTGGCTTGGCCCAATCAGGTCCTACCGAAGCCGTTCCTTCGCTAAAGGGACCAGATACCAGGAGCGTCGTGCATCGCCAGATAGTTCCCTCTGCGTAACCTTGCCCTGGTTCTGAAAGAGACTTCAGCCCCGGCCCTGCGTTCATCGGATGAATCAGGAGCCATTTGTGCTGAGCTATAAGAGAAATAAAGCATAGTGTAGTGAAGGTGATCAAGCAGCCACACTTGCAACTGTGTTAAGTGACAACAGCCCTGTAGAAAACTGAGTTGTAGTCAGGCAATCTTGTTAAACATGGGACCATTAAGCCACTATAAAGTAGGCGCTAGTATATCTCTTACAGATTAGATAACACTGAAGATACTTTTTGAAGGTCACACAGGTCTCCTTTACTCTGGGATTTCTGCACAAAGGAATACCAGAGTTTTTGAGACTTTTGAAGTTCTTTGTCTTCTATAACCACTGCCTACTTCCTTATCATTCTGGCCACTGAGGTTTACCCAAAAGGCCCTCTACACCAGTTTCTCATGCCAGAAACAGGAACTAACAATGTTCACATAATTTCTAGAGTGGCCCTGGCCTATATTCTTAACACCTGCCAGAAAACTGCATCACGAGGCACTGAAATCTGAGATTCAGCAGCTTCTCTCCACAGGGCTCCTTCAGGGGTAGCTGTCCGTTGTATGGTATGACCACCCGGAATGGCTCCTTCCTGGCCTTATCCCATTCCTCGGCCCCATCCCTGTGCTACTTTGTGGCAGGGGCCTCTGGCTTCCTGGCCCTCTACTGCCTCCTGCTTCTGCTCTTCTGGGTCTACAGCAGCTGCATCGAAGACTCAAAAAGGTGAATGTCCCACCCCAAGGACCAGGGGCTGAGGTGGGATGAAACCATCAACCGCAAGGTTTGTTCTCTCCCCCCAGAGGTCTTATAGGGCTCCGCGTTGCACTGGCCATCTCAGCTATAGCCATCTTCCTGGTGTTAGTATCTGCCTGTATCCTTCGATTTGGCACCAGATCCTTCTGCAATTCCATCATCTCCCTGAACAGTACAATTAGGTAATGAGGAGGGAGGGAAGCCTGGATGGGGCTACCTTCCTTCTGCAGAGGGGGAGTCCTGTAACCTCCCATTTTCTGTCTGTTGCTGTCCACCTCAAAGGGTACCTGGGTACAGGTATGCTTAGGGTGTATCCCCACTTCTTTCTCAAAACTGTCCCTTTGACCTCACAGCTGCTCTGAAGCTCAGAAAATTCCATGGACACCCCCTGGAACAGCTCTGCAGTTTTACTCCAACCTACACAATGCTGAAGTGAGACCCAGAGACACACTGATTCATACAAGTATCTGTAGCTATAAGGATGCTCACCAATGAATATGAGCTTGGCCTACCACTGACAAGCTAAGAGGAGCTGAAGGGCGTATCAGCCTGACAGACTGGTGTGTGGGTGGAAGGACTGGATCTGTGATGGTCTGAATCCTCACATTCCTGTTCTGTCTCCACAGACCTCTTCATGGGTGAATCTGGTATTATGGTGTGTGGTCTTGGTGCTCCAGGTCATGCAGTGGAAGTCTGAAGCCACCCCATACCGACCTCTGGAGAGGGGAGACCCTGAGTGGAGCTCTGAGACAGATGTTCTTGTTGGGCCACGCCTGTCCCATTCCTGAAGAGTAACCAAATAGTTCATTCTGCAGCCAACGACTTTGTGCCCAAGTGCCTGTAATCCTCTTGTCCCCACACAGCCCTGTTAGTGCTGAAAGCCCCCGTTTTCCCTCCAGGAGGGAAAGGTAACAGGCCCCTCTCCACCTCTCTTCCTATAGCTGTTTTTGTACCAAAATATTAGTATTACTTTCTTCATTTTGGTATTGTGTTCTTGATGTTAAAACAAGTAGGTGATGGGAAGGAGTGAAGGCGAAGCAGGCATGGATCAGGCAGCTTCCCTTTAGACAACTCCTCTTTTAATTGTTACTATTGAATCTTAGGTTCCCCCTTGGTGACCCTGGTTGTCACCCCATCCATAAGTTCAATTTTGTTTTGTTTCCCCCTTTTTTTTTTGTCTCCTTCTGAGAGGGAGTGAAAGACCCAAGGTGGTTTCTTACAAGCTCCGATAGGTACCCACAGTGTTGTCAAAGAGCTGAACGTTGGGGAAGTGTCCAGCTTTGTCCAAGAGGAAATAGAAGCGATGGCCTTTGATCTTCAGAGGCAGCATAGCAGGGACTTCTCCTCGGTGGGCCATGCAGGATACCTGGTTCAAGGGGACGGTGAAAGGGGCTCCCAAGCCAAAAGGGGCATGAGTGGTCAGGGTCACCTGCTGCCCTCCTGCTCGAAGCATCACTGAACGCACAGATCGTAGAGAGAAGAGAAGACCAGCACCCAGTACCAGGGTCCCTACAGAAGAGCACAGCAGTGGGGTGAGGTGTGTTCACTGAAAGGACACACACCAACCCTTTCCCTTTGAGTAAAAGATATGAGCGTGACTAACATTTTTGAGTGGGAACCTCTTATATCTAACAAACTTCTAGGCGATGTTTATCCCCATTTTAAAACTCAGGAAAAGGGCTTAAAACTTAAATTTGCTCAAGGACAGAGCGCTGAGAGGATGTGGCTCCCAGGGACTGCAGCGCCCTCTTCTGCTCATCTCTCCTTATCTGAGCCTAGAGCCCACTGCCCCATCCCAGGTAGAGAAGCCGGCCCACGCCTTACCGATGGCACCGCAGCTGACCACCAGCCCGTAGCGCCAGAGCACAGCGCGCAGGTCCAAGCGGCCGCGGTCTGGGGCCTCTGCATCCAGGGGTCGCGCCTGGACCAGGGGTGCAGACCAAGCTGTCAAGGCCAGGGAGGCCCAGAAGATGCCCTGGCCGGCGCAGAAGAGTCCAAGGATAGTGAAGAACCGGCCCCGCTCATGCTCGAAAAGTAGCACATCCTGCGCCGGGGTCGCGTGGTGCAGGGCCTGGCGCGTGGGCAGGAGCCGCAGCACCACAAACAGCCCATGAGAACACCTCCAAGCTGCCGCCATGGCGGGCAGGCCACTTCTGCTTCAGAGGCGGGACTTCCTGCCGAGGCCCCGCCCACCACGAGAAGCAATCCAGAACGCAGAGGCAAAATACAATATCACTCTTTATCTTAAAAAGTAAGGGGAATCCTGGGGCTAAGTACACAAAGCACCTAAGTCCTTCGGGTAGTTTAGTGTCAGTTCTACAAAGTGAGCTTTGGCTTCCTGGCACCAGTGAGGCTCAATCTTCTGGAAGTCTTCAGGAAGTCTTCCAGAAGGCAGGTGAGGAGCGGGATCCACAGACCTCCCTCCTCAGTCACAGTCACAGGGTGGCCTCCGGCTGGACAGAAGGCAAGGGATGACAACCATACAATAATATCCAAGGGCTATTTACACACGCACTTCTGGAGCACAACTATGGATCACTTCATGAATGCAACTTCTGGGATCTCACCCTTGGCCTGGAAAAAAATAAAAGGTCAGTACAGCCAGGTGTCCCTTTCCTGCCCCCAATGCCTTACTCATTTGACCCTCACTTAACCTTCTCCAAGGCTCAAAGAGCCGTCTTTTTGCCACAGTATTCCCAAATCTTACCTTGAGATGAGTGAAGGCTTGGGCAGATCTGGTATAGTCCCAGTTGTTGTCCTGAAGGCACCTGGCAGCGAAGAACAGGAAGTTCCATGAGAACCAAAATGTACTCACTCTGAACACTAAGGGCCATTTCAGAAGCCATCCTCCAGAGACACTCACCACTAATAATTATTTGCTGTACTTACACTTAAAAATGTGATTTTCAGCCCTTTTGGCCTTCAACTTGTGATCCCCCTGCCTCAAGTAGCTGTGATTATAAGCATGCACCACCCCACCTCACTTTATCCCCAGTATAGGGAATTAAACTTAGGGACTTTCTACCACTGAGCTGCATCCTAGTACTTTTTATCTTGACAAGTTGCCCAGTCTGGCCTCAAACTGGGGATCCTCCTGCTTTAGTCTCCCAAGTAGCTCGATTTCCATGTATGGACCACTGTGCCCAGTTTTTTGGCCCTAGGAATTGAACCCAGGGCACTTAAGTACTGAGCTACATCCCTAGTCCTTTTTATGTGTGTTTGTGGTGCTGGGGATTAAACCCAGGGCCTTGTGCATGCAAGGCAAGTACACTACCAACTGAGCTGTATCCCCAGCCCATACTTTTTATTTTTGAGAGTGTCCCACTAAATTGCTGAGGTTAGCCTTGAACTTACAATACTTCTGCCTCAGCCTCCCAAGCCACTGGGATTCCAGGCATGCACCACCTCACTTGGTTTGTATTTTAAGGAACTAAACGGTTTTGGCTTTTAAAATTTCAGGAGCACTCATCATTCTCTACCAGTCCCACCTCAGTTTACCCCTGTCCCTGTAGGTACAGCACTCACTTCTGGGACCACTCGAGGTTCATGCCAGACTGGGTAGAGAACGCCTGTAACATTTCCTGCTGCTCCGGGGAGAGGGTGGGCACAGGGCTGGAGGAAGGTGTGGGTGCAGGCATGGCGAAGGCTCTTTGGATCTCTTCAGGGCTGGCATTCCTCACAAATAGCTCATCATTAACGATACATAACCTTGGAGACAAAGAGCACCTTAAACAACTGGACAGACAAATAACCTCACTGCTCCCCAACATCACTGCTATTCTCTGACATTTGACACTCAAATTATTTCAATACCTATATGGGCCCCTCCCAGTCTTAGCTGTTGCTTTTTACCATTTGTTCCTTCTTCTAATGGACTCCATGTTTAGGATTATCTCCCAAATACTAGAATTATACATTCTCCTCTAATCCATGGAGAGTTGTTACTCTTGTTTATTTTTATAACAAACTTAGGCAGTAAATATTGTTATAAAAATTTCCAGATGAGGAAAGTTGGCTGTAGCTAAAAGTGATGGAGCCACTATGAAAACCCAGATGGTCTAACGCTAGAGCCAAGTACTTAACCACTACAGCAGCCTCCTGATTCCTGCTGCCTTTGTGAAATTTTGAAGACACCCTGAGGACTGACTGGCTTCCAGTTTCCACACTGCTGACCAGGTACTGGGTCTGGTACACCCAGTGTAGTAAGCAGAACACTTACCCTGAATTACTAGCAGGAACAGCGATGAATGTCCTCGTGAAGGCTCTCAAAGAATCTCGAGATTTTCCATCCACTACAGTGAGAACAGCAGCAATGACCACTTAGAATCATTTATGTTTTACACTTATAAACAGGTTCTCAAAATGTGGTCTTTGATACAGAAAACACTAAGTGGGCCAAATTGGGATGATTGTGTTTGGTCGGTGAGAGGTCAGAGAGGACAATAACAATTACTAACCCTCTCAGAGAGCACACATGCCAGGCCTTAGGTTAAGCACTTTCCAAGTAATTTCACACCCTATGAGTGGGTTATTATTAAACACCATCTTACAAATTAAGCATTTGAAGCTCAGAGTTAATGCAGTTTTCCCACAGAACCATAGAACCAAGACTGGAAGGAAACTAAGACCTGCCTGACTTCACAGTCTGGATCTGCCTAATTCCTAGACTTTTCCCACATTGCAGATAGGACAGGTAAAGAAGGCAGGCTAAGCAAAAATGGCTTGAGCGGAATGGTGAAGAAGGCCAGGAAAGAAAAGAAGGTAGTTGGGAAGCTAAGAATACCAAGAAAGATTCTTGCTGGGGGAGGGACCCCACCACAAACTCAGAACTCAAAATATTCTCACCTTCCTTGAAGACCCCATTGACAGAAAAACACAGCAATGTACTCTGGAAGAGAAGATGTACCAGGTGTGATATAGATTTCTAGCCAGAGCTTGAGCACCCTACCCCACACTATTGTAAATGCTGCCCCTGCTATGCCCTCCACCCAATGCTAGGCTTCTATAAGGGCAGAAATACATGCTTACTGTCTGGGCACTTATGTCTACCACAAAGGAATTGATGTCATGCTGAGTTTTGGGCAACTCATTGAGGAAGGCGACAACGTTGAGACGTGTGTGTTTCAGCAACCGGAACCGCGAGGCTATGGGCAGAAGGAGGAGAAAGCAAAGTTGGGACAGCCACGTACTCCCGAGCTCTCAGATTCCTTCCCATTTTCTGCTCCCATCCTATCTTGCCCATATCGCACACTTACGTGGGTCTTTAAGCCTTTTCACATTTCTGCTGTCCTTGTAGTATTCAGCCAAGTTGCTTCTGTGGGAAAAGGAAGAAAAGGAGGTGGTGGTCAGAGCAGTGTGGTCTATGTATCTTCTGGGGAAATCCTATGGTCCTGGGCAGGTACTGGGATATGAGACTCACCGGGCAGGGTTATGGGGGATGAATGGAATGCTTAGTGAGCAGCAGGCCCCATCATGGTAGGCATCCAAAAGCCCCTGCCGGTCTCCAGAGTCATAAATTGCATAGTATCTATGAGGGGGAAAAAAAAAAAAAGGAAATGTCTGAACTCCTGTGGAAAGAAGACACAGTAGCTCCCAAAAGTGAGCTGTGCTTGGGCCTCCCACTTTCCCCAGCCTCAGGGGCCCTAGGATACTTACTGCTGCAGAAAGTGCAGAACCAGACTCTTTAGGTTCTCCGTTCCAAAATAGCTTCCCTGGAACGAAAAAGACATTAGGAACATGGAAGCAGTTCTCTCCCCACACATGTTCTAACTCCACCTCCACTCCTCACCTTGCAGGGTGGCAACATTGTGGGGGCTTCAACATCAAAGGCAATTGGTGGGGGCAACTCATGGCCATCCTGTGGAAAGAAATGAAAACTGAGTATAAACTAAAGAAAAATGGCTAGATGTGTAAGAAGATGGAAGGGCTGAGAGTGAAGGGTTAGCAGTCAAGTGTTAAAGAAGCATGAAAAGTATCCAGGAATCCTGAGTATGAAAATTCAGCCTACAGGCATTTCTCTGGGAAGGATTATCATCTTTATCAAATTCTCAAAGGGATCCATGCATGACTCCAGATTAATGGTCATGTAGGAACAATCTTAGGAGAAGAAGATGCCATGCTTATTAGAAGAGAATGAAAAGTTTAGACTTACCAGGCGTAGTAACTTGGGAAATCGTTCGCGAATGGCGCTGTCAAGAACGGGACAGAAGTGAGTGATGCTTCAGAGCCACCAATGCCTCCTGGGCTGCTCTAGGAGCAAACAACATCAACACCCAAGGGACAGCCCGTCCCATTGCTCATCGCCCGGCTCCTCCCCAGCCTGTACTTAGAGAAAAGTAGCCCCATTCCCCACCTCACCTGGGGCACCCAGACTGGACTACCTTGAAGGCTGTCTTTTTTCTCTCTGCCTGACCCTGAGTGCCACAGGAGCAGCACTCCCAGCCCAGGCTTTAAGCCCAGGACCTCCTTCCCCCTTCTTGCCCCCCTTACCTTCCACCTACTCACCTGTGCAGCCCCGGGAGGAGGGAATGGGGTGGGAGCCCATGGGCTCCGCTGCCTCACCAGGTATCCATCGGTTCTGCCAGGTCTGGCCTTGGCCAAGACCAGAACACACCACAGGGATGGCACAGGATGTTGGGGCAAGGAGATGAGCAAGGTGGGGCTCAGGAGCAAAGGAGGCAAAGGAAGAGAGGAAAGAAGAAAGAAATAAAGGTAGGGTGGAGAAGGGACAGGGGAAAGATAGGAGAGAAAAGAGAAGAAAAGGAAAGAGAAAGCAAAGAAAAAGGGAAAGAACCACAGGCAAAGAGGCATAAGGAAGAGAAGGGAGAAAACAAGAAAAACATCCTAACACAGCCCTTTCCTTCAGCTGCCCTTTCCCTGTGGTCCAAGGTAAAATCAGAAAGCAAATCCTGCTGTGGCGGGTGGGCAGCTGCTGTTGGCCAGGCCTCTGACTGCTACCTGGGTCCCAATCTGAGCTGGGCGTGGGAAGCAAAGCAGCCATGGGGGCAGGAGACCTCCCTCAGAAGGGGTGAAGGTTCAGACCCCTGCAAAGTTGGGGGGGTGAGGTTCTGTGCCCCACCTCTGTTGGCCCCCAAGTTCTTTCCTGATGGCCCCTCTGCGACTGTGCCTGTCTTAGGTTGTTCCTTCCCTGAGGAATCTTACCCGTCTCTGGCTAACCAGCCATCCTCCGGGGCCAAACAGGGTGATGTGAGGTGTGCGAGTGAGGGAGGGGCATTGCCCCAGAGAGTCAGTTCTCTGTCTCCTTGGTAGCCAATGCCCCCGTGGCCTCCACGCCCAGCATCTGCCTTAGGATCCCCTCGCCTGCTGGCGGGGCCCCGGCTCTGGTCACAGGTTTTGGGAAACCCAGGTTTCTTCTCCAGGGAGGGCCCAGCTCACAGCACTGAGTGAGAGAGACATATGGCATGGTACCAGCCTCCTGGAGGCTTCAACCTTAGCATGGGCAGGAAAGTCCAGGCTACAGCCTTGGACAAGTAGCTTGTGAGAATAGTGTCCCTCTTGGTGCAATGCAAGAGGGGTCATCAAAGGACAAAGAGGAGAAAGGCCCATCTCAGTAGGAAGTCCCAGTTAGGGAGGGCTTTCTCAGCCTAAGGATTCCAGGCTCTTAGCCCAAGGTAACCCCATGGATGGGGAATATACAAGACACCCCCCAGTCAAAGTAGAAATGAGGAGGTGTCCTTCCTGGAACAATAGGGTAGGGAGAGTCTAGAAAAGGCTGTGTTCAGGAAGGAAGGAGAAAGGCCATAGAACCAGCAAACAGTAATCAGGTGAGAAAAAAGAAGAGATTTTGGAACAAAGCTGAGAGACACAGAGAGACGAAAAGGAGGAGCGTGTGGTCCTCCCAAAGGACAAGTGGTTCCAGCTCAGGGCTGCACATCTCCTGCAGACGGGCACTGATCAGGGTGCATTAACTCAGCCTCCCAGGGGTTGAAGGTCCCCAGGAGGGAAACAAAGGCTATGACTGACCTGATGTAGGTAGACTGGTCTTGGAAACTATCACACAGGGGATTTCCATCAAGCCACAGTTCTTCCAGCTTCAGCCCTTTTATCTTATCCAACTCCCGCTCAGACTTCAACTGCAAAAGAGGAAGAAAACAAGGAGGAAATGGATGTGGTGAGGAAAACAGGTAGATCCTTAGACCTCTAATCCCTATCCTCCTAAGGTCTCCCTTTTACCTCCTGCCAGTCAAACATGCCCTCCCCATCCTCTGCTACCCCATCAAAACCACAAACCATCAGCCCTCACTTCATTTCCAGAGAGATTTAAGATCTTCAGGTTGGATGCCTTCTGCACAATGCTGGACATGACATCCAGCCTGTAAAGCCTGTTGTTGCTCAAGTTCAAAGATAAAAGCTGTTGAGTAGAAAAGAGTTTAGAAGAAAGGTAAGCAGTGAGTAGATCACCCTATCCCATCCTACCTCTCCCTCCCTGCTTCCTCATGTTTAATACTGGCCCCAAAGCCTCACCTCAGGGATGTTTTCTTCAATGATTCGTAGGGTAGCCGCCATACAGCTTCTACGATGCAGGACAACATCAATGTTCTGGGCCACCAAATCTTCAGAAAGCAGATAGAAAGGGAAGTCTGAGAGGACTTGTCACATCAGCATTAGCACTAAATCATCCTCAAACTTTCCCTGGGTGACAAATCCCATTCTGTCTCCATCTAGCTGAGAATCTATTGTCAGTCATACCTGGGTCTGAACGAAGGCCCTTGAGATCAAGTGCTTGTTGGGAACCATCATAACGTTTGCTCATAATAAGCTACACAGGAAGACAAAGGATTTAGTGGTCAATGGGGCTAAATGGGCATGTTGGGATGAGTGAGTGGGTAGGGGTGAGAAGTAAGACTTGGTTGAAACACATGTTACTTGAGCTGGCCTCACCTTTAGCTGCTCTACTTGTTCTGGCTTCAGTTCATTTTGTACAACATAGGGTGGAGAAGAGGGGTTGATGATGATAGGTATCTGGAGAGAAGACACAAAGAGAGAGTAAACTCCAGGGAAAGCCCCAGGACCAAGAATTGTCCCTGTCCTGTGTAGCAGTTCCCACCATCAGCCAAGCTAGGGCCTTTACACCTACCCTTCGGTTATCCTGACCCACAATCTTATAGTTGATAGCCTTTAATGCAGAGGCAGTGCTGGAATCCTCCACAAAAAACTGGGCCCGGGTGCTCTCATAATGAAACTTAAAAAGAGGAAACAAGAGCATTAGACTTGAATCAAGAGCACCTTACCCAGCTGGGCCCATACTGTCTCTGGTGCCCAGTCAGCCACTCAGTCCTTATCTTACCTCAATGGGGGTGAAAGGGACACTGCATTTGCTCTGAATCATGTTCAGAAGCCAAGCTTTGTCATACTTTTTGCCACAAGGAATCTAGAAGGGAGAGAAAGCAAACAGAAGAGAACACCATGTAACTAAGGTTGAACAGCTGTCTCAACCCAGCATTCCTTTTGTACCTTCTGCAGAGCTTTAAATTGTTTTCTAGGGCTGGGGGCATAGCTCAGTGGTAAAGCAGGTGCCTAAAAAGATCAAGGTCCCAAGCACATCCCCAGAACCACAAAAAGGAAAAAAGGCAGGGCATGGTCATGCATGCCTGTAACACCAGCAACTTGGGAAGCTGAGGCAGGGGGTTCTCAAGTTCCAGGCCAGCATGGGCAATTTAGTAAGACCTTGTCTTAAAATAAAAAATAAAAAAGGCTGGGGATGTAGCTCAGTGGTAGAACACCACTGGGTTCAATTCCCAGTATCATAAATGAAAACAAAACACACCAAAAACCAAAAAGGTTTTATAAAGAAAAGACTAGTTGGTCAGGTGTGGTGGTGCATGTCTTCATGTCAAACTACTTGGGAGGCTGAGACAGGAGGATCACAAGTTTGTGGCCAGTCTAGGCAATTTAACAAGACCCTATCTCAAAAATAAAATAAGCCGGTGCAGTGGTGCACGCCTATAATTCCAGTTACTTGGGAGGCTGAGATGGGAGAATTGAGTTCAAAGCCAGCCTCAGCAACTGTGAGGTACTAAGCAACTCAGTGAGACCCTCTCTCTAAACAAAATACAAAATAGGTTTTGGGGGTGTGGTTCAATGGTCAAGTGCCCTTGAGTTCAATTCCTGGGACCAAAAATAAAATAAAATAAAATAGCTGTGGATGCAGTTCAGTAGTACAACACTTGCCTCGCATGCAGGAGGCCCTAGGTTCAATCCTCAGCAAAAGAAAAAAAAAAAAAATCACAAGCTTTTTTTTTTTTTTTAAGGTATAGATGGACACAACACAATGCCTTTATTTTTATATGATGCTGAGGATACAACCCATGCCTCGCCAGTGCTAGGCGAGCGCCTTACCACTGAGCCACAATCTCAGCCCCATGTTTTTTTATTTTTTAAATATTTATTTTTTAGTTATAGGTGGACACAATATCTTTATTATATTTTTATGTGGTGCTGAGGATTGAACCCAGTGCCTCAAGCATGGTAGGCAAGCACTCTACCTCTGAACCACAACCCCAGCCCAATCACAAGTTTTCCACCTAAAACACATGTGAATTTCTGTTCACTTACACTTATTATTCCTCAAAAGTATCATTTTTTAAATTCTAAAAGCTCCAAGGTTTAATTTATACCTTGCCTACACCTTAGAGAACTCCAAGCCCTACACTCAGCTTGAACCAAATGAGGCTATCCAGAGGAGTTATTCTACCTCCCAACCAGTTACATTTTCATTCTACTCTGTTGTCTATCCCCACTGAACTTTCCCTGAACCTGTCGTTTGGTGTTCTAACATAGTGATTCTAGCTGGGGATGTAGCTCAGTGGTACAGTACTTGCCTAGCATGTGCAATTCTCTGAATTCAATCCCCAGTACTAAAAAAAAAAAGGGAAAAAAAATATTGGTTGGGGGGTCAGTGTCTGGGGAATGATCTCAGGGGCATTTTATCACTGAGCTAATCTCCAGTCATTTTTATTTTGAGACAGGCTCTCACTAAGTTGCTCAGAGTCTTGTCAAACTACTGAGACCTTTCTTAAACTTGCGATCCTCCCCCCTCTGGCAGGAGTTGCTGAGATTACAGGTGGCAGCACCATACCCAGCCAAAAAAAAAAAAACAAACCTGTTTCTAAAGGAGAAAGAAAGGATACCTAATTGTGAAGTATGAAGTAAACAGCCAAAAAAAAAAAAAAAAGGAATTTTTATGGGGAAAAAAAGTAATAATTTTCATTCTGAGTCCAGCCTCCTACACTAAGGTACTCACTGTAATCTTGAACCAGTTCTTAGAGGACCCATCCTGGCTGGTGCCAGCCCCTCCTCTCTCTGGAGGAGCTCTGTCTCTCCGCACAGTAATGTGAATGCGACCTCCTCGATCATGCCAAGTATCACCCCGACGGTTAGTTCGGGTGGCATATGGGTTGCTGTGGGGAAATAGAGAATTAAAAGTTCATAACTATTAGAAAAAACCATCCTGCACTGTTAGCAGGACTATAATTAAGACTGTTCAACCATTAAGATGGTCTTGACATGTTTACCATTCTAGGTGGGAAAAGCAATGACAAGGACAATAATAAAGCTATATAATCTAATAGGTTATTAAATTCAAAGTAGACCAATTAGTCACTTACTATCGTACGCGGGGACCATCCTGAGCATCACTCATTGCCACATCTCCATCATCTTCCTCGAGCCGAGAAGACTGAACACCAGAACCACCTCGTCCTGACCGACGGTTCCCCTCACCATACTTCCACCGGAAAGGACCCCGGCCTTTCTTTCTTCTTTGAGGGAAACTAACACGGTCATCATGCTCTGGAAGTGAAATAGGTACACAAACTAGTAAATATATGGAGTGCGGAAGTATCTCAGTAGTAAAGTGCTTCCCTAGCATGTGTGAGGCCCTAGGTTCAACCCCTTGCACTGAAAAAAAATTCCTTAAAAATTTAGTAAATACATCACTGGAGTAGCAATTGCAGATTCTAGCACTCTGCACTACTGGGAAAGATACACATTAACTACAGAAGCCATTTCCACACAAGTGCCTCTGCCTGTCCAAAGGAAAGAATCCACTCTGGAATGGCAGTATCATATCAGGGAAACAGGATAGAGCTTTTGAAAAATGAAGCAAAAACCAGAACTATAAAAAGAGGCAGAATGTAGAAGTGTAAGCAGCCCAAACATGTAACTAGCCACAAATCAGACCCCTGAAAGCTACTTGGGACCTACCACTCAGTATTTCTCTTGCCTAAACAATACAAACAAATATCACCAATTTAAGGGCCTCCTAAAAAATCTTGTACTCGGGGCTGGGGTTTTGGCTCAGCGGTAGAGTGCTCACTTAGCAAGTGCGGGGCCCTGGGTTCGATTCTCAGCACCACATAAAAATAAATAAACAAAATAAAGGTGTTGTGTCCAACTACAACTAAAGAATAAATATTTTTTAAAAATCTTGTTCTCAAACTACAACTAAAAAAATAAATATTTTTTTTAAAATCTTGTTCTCAAACGGCCACTGTGAAGTTTGTAAAATGATTGGCTTCTTTGACTAGGAATGCCCTTTAACTCAGGAGACAACTTTTTGGCTCAGGTCTGGTGGCAGCATCACTTTAGAGTGCTTAACCAAGGCTCCTGAAATGTATGGCCTGAGAGGGATGCAATAGTGCACTCCTGTCATCCCAGCGGCTTGAGAGGCTGAGGCAGGAGGATCACGAGTTCAAAGATCTCGAGACCTTATCTCTATTTTTTTTTAATATTTATTTTTTAGTTTTCGGCGGACACAACATCTTTGTATGTGGTGCCTAGGATCGAACCCGGGCCGCACGCATGCCAGGCGAGCGCGCTACTGCTTGAGCCACATCCCCAGCCCCTTGAGATCTTATCTCTAAATATAAAAAAAGGGCTGGGGATGTGGCTCAGTTGTTGAACACCCCTGGATTCAATCCTGGGTACCAAAATAATAATGATAATATTAATAATATAATAATAACAATAAAATAAAAAGAGCCAGGGATGCAATTCAGAGGTAAAGATTGGCTGGGTTCAATCCCCAGTAAAAACAAAAACAAACAAACAAAGAATATGGCCTGACTCCTAGAGCACTTCCCTAGCACTGGTGAGGCCCTAGGTTTGATCTCTAGCCACACACACACACACACACACACGCAAACACACAGAAGGCAAAAAGAAAAAACAAAAATCCAAGGAAGTCTACCTAATACCTAGTACTATGTAAACAATGAAATTCAACAAATAACCCTAGGAGAAGAGAAATGAATAAAAGCTGCAGCTGATTTTCATTAAGAACTTTCTCCAAGCCCGGGCATGGTGGCACTGACTGTAAAATCCCAGCGGCTCAGGAGGCTGAGACAGGAAGATTTCTAGTTCAAAGCCAGCCTCAGCTACTTATCGAGGCCCTAAATAACTCAGTGAGACTCTGTCTCTACTTAAAATATAAAAAAAGGCGCTGGGGATGCGGCTAAGTGAAGTTTCCCTGGGTTCAATCCCCAGTACCAAAAAAAAAAAAAAAAAAATTTCTCCAGCCAGGTACCAATGACACACACACCTGTAATCCCAGCAACTTGGGAGGCTGACACAGAGGATTTCTAGTTCAAAGCCAGCCTCATTAATTTAGCAAGACCCTTAGCAGCTTATTGAGAACTTGTCTCAAAATAAAAAAATAAAAAGGGCTGGGGATGTCGCTCAGCCGTTAAGGGTTCAACAATACCCAGTACAAAAACAAAACAAAAAGTTTCTTCAGCCAGTCACAGTGGAACAGACCTGTAATCCCAGGGACCCGAAAGGCTGAGGCAGGAGGGTCACAAATTTAAGACCAGCCTCATTTTCTTAGCAAGGCCCTCAGCAACCTAGGGAGACCCTGACTCAAAATTAAAAATAGAAACAGCTGGGATGTAGCTCAGTGGTAGAGCACTCCTGGGCTAAATCCCTGAGTGCCAAAAACAAAATAAAACAAATTAAAACTTTCTCCAGTGCCAGCCACTAAGCTCCAGGCACTTGATAGGAATTGTCTTATTTAAATAAACACACAAAAACTTGGGAGATAGGTACTCTTTCTAGCCATATCAAGGGAGTGGAAAATAAGATCTGAAAATTTAATTCGCTGAAACTTGGTGTACCCAACGCAGGATTCAAACCTGGGTTGTCATGCTCTCCTGATCATCACAATGGACTAACCACCAATAAAGTGTTCCGACTAGAACATCCAGTTGGTGGGCAGGTCTCAAAGGCTGAAGGCGGGGGCAAGACCACTGGACGCAGTCAAAAATAGGGCACCAGCACAGCCCACGAGCAGGGCAGACTCACATTAAAGTAAGAGTGAGGCCGCCCAACTGAACTGACAGGCATCAACCACCCTCCAAGTTCAAAGGAATCTTGTCACCCCACCCTGAGCCATCCGCTCCGAGCCACAGTCCTCCAACGCCAGGATTCCCGAGTCAACAACCAGGCGCCCACCTCGAGTCCAGTCGGTGCCCCTGGGCTGTCTCGCCCTCGTTTCGGCAGGGCCCGCGCCGCAGCCGCTGCCCTTGGACGCTGGGCCCCTCGCGGCCTCCCGACCCGGGGCTGCGGCCTAGGCCGGCGCCGCCCACCCAGATCCAGATCGCCCGCTCCGGGGCTGAGGGCCAGCACTTACCGTTGTACGACTTTCCCTCGTCCGCCATTGCACTGCGAAGAGCAGGGGGGGCGGTCTCAGGCTAGGGAGCCGACTGCCTCCAACGTCCGAACGCCCTGCCGCTCCGGACACTTTGCCTCTTCTACGCCGGGCGCCACCGCATTTATATAGCGAAGCACGTAGTGCGCCGCCCGACTTCCCCCGGCTGTGGGCGGGGCCACGCGGAGGAAGCGGACCATATGCGCGTGCGCAAACGCAGGGTCGCGAGGGGCGGGGCCTGCCATCCAAGCCCCGCCCAAATCCACTCTACTCCTATTCCTGCCATCGAAGCCCCGCCCAAATCCGCTCTACTCCGGCTATTCCTGCCATCCAAGCCCCGCCCAAATCCACTCTACTCCTGCTATTCCTGCCATCCAAGCCCCGCCCAAATCCACTCTACTCCTGCAGATTCACTCCGCTCCTGGCTCCTCAGTCGAAGCTGCCCCGCAACCGCAGGCTTTGCTTTGGAACGGAACTGGCCGCTGCAGCCCGGAACTGAGAGGAGCTGGGAAGGAGGCCGCACTGAGGGTTTCCGAGGAATGGAGACCGAGCTTCGGGGCGGGAGTGATGCCTCACTGATCTCTACTGGGATTCAGTCTTGCCAGCTGTGGATGCAAGCCTCGCTTTCCTCGCCCACCAATTTTGGCGAGCTTTCGTCCTCACAAACCGCCCCACCCACCACTAGCATCCGGCTACACCCTCATCACGCGTCAACTGAGCAGACGGAAAGGTGGGCCACTTGCTGGAAAGAGAAATTTTAAATGCCAAGACAGATGGGCTCGACCCCCAAAAGCCCAATACCTGCCCGAGTGTGGTGATTGTTCTCTATACCTTGAGCCTCCCTTGGAATGTGTGAAATGGGGCCCTTGGAGTGACCGGTGGTGGAATGTGGGTGAACAGGAAAGACAAAGCAGTGCTGTAACCTCCTCGGAAGGAGGATATTGCAGGCAGGTCTCTCCATTCTTCGTGACTGTCTTGGATTTGATGAGGAGGTTGGAGAGAACCTCAGCTGAAATTGAGGAGAAATTCTTCACTTCCCTTTTGCTTCTGGCAGTAGGCATAACTCCCTCTTATTCAGTTCAAGGAAGATTTGGGGGTCAACTGGTTGGAGGATGCAGATAAAACAGGTTCAAACAGTGCTTAAGTAGGCCACCAATCAGGGACCTACTATGAGATCCAGCTTTCCCTTTCAAAAGGAAGTTTCCATGCTAATGAGGTGTTGCTGTGCTTGGTTAGTCCCTGCCTGGAAACAGATGTGTGTACAAAGCCCCAAAGCTGCCCAGAGTTGGCGGTGGGGCCCCTTCAGAGCAAGCGCCCAAGCCCTTCAGGCTCACTCTACTTGCTGAAGCCCTTCGACGCTCCCACCCAGAAATGACAACAAGGCTAGTGAGGCTGACAGTCTTGCTGTAATTGAGAGGAAACGGGCTGTAGCGCATTTGACAGATCGAGTCACCAGCAGCCAAAGTCAGGGGTTGTGCAGGCAGCTGAAGGGCTCAGGGCCCCTTGCCTCACATAATGAAGAGAGGAAGGAGGCCAAGTTCTAACCCAGATGGTAAGTTGGTCCCTGGGACAGTTTTGCTTCCTCTCCTCACTCTCAGGAAGGAAGGGAGGGGCATCATCTTCCCTTGCTGCCAATAGTTCCTTTCGGAGAGACTGGGGAGGGTTTATAAAAATCTCCTGGTGGAAAAAACCTCCTCCTTCACCAGCCCCCAGATGGTCTCTACTCCCTTCCAGCCACTTCACAGCAGAATCCAAATCCAGAACCACATGTGTTCCATGGGCCTGAGGGTAGTGAGGGGGAGTACGGGGTGGCCAGAGACAAGGGGTGGGGGATCAGGGGCAGTGGCCATTCTTAGCAGTTCCAGGGAAACACAGGGCCTTTCTCCCAAGCACCCTGCATAGGCTCAGTGGCAGCACTGGCCACCTGCCCTTCTGGGAGGGTACCAAACCCCCATGGAGTGCCTCAGAGTGAAGAGGGTTCAGGCCAGGAAGACCACAAAGATGATGAAGAAGACAATGAGGATGAGGAAGATTTTGACCATAAGCCACCTGTTGGAGGTGACCGACTGGAAGTACTTGAGGATCTCTGAATGGGCAGCCTCAACATCCAGCTGGGCTCCTAGCACGTTCTCGTCGATCCTGGGAACAGGGCCGGGAGGGAAGGAAACAAAAGGACACCGGATTAAAGAGATGCTGTTGAAGTCTTATTTATTGACATGGAAAAGATGGTCACAATATGTAGAAATAAAAAATGTGTATGTTTGTTTATAGAAAAGGCTCTTGTGGGGCTGGGGCTGTGGCTCAGTGGTAGAGTGTCTGCCTGGCATGCATAAAGCCCTGGGTTCTATCACAAGCACCACAAATATATAAATAAAGATATACAACAGTGTCTCCTGCTTTGTGTAGGTACCTGTGAATAAATAAGCCAACAAAAATTTAAAAATAAAAAGTTGGTAAGGACTTTAACAAGTAGTAATATTAAAAAAAAAAAAAAGAGAAAAGGCTCTTGGGGGCAGTATTTCTCCCACTTATTCTATCTCTAAATCATTTAACCTTGGGGGCTGGGGATGTGGCTCAAGAGATAGCGCGCTCGCCTGGCATGCGTGCGGCCCGGGTTCGATCCTCAGCACCACATACAAACAAAGATGTTGTGTCTGTCAAATACTAAAAAATAAATATTAAAAAAAAAAAAATCATTTAACCTTATTTTTCCTTATTTGCAAAATGAGAAACACAAATCCTTTCGCTCCTTAGACTGTCTGCAATGAGTTGGTATGAAGTCCCCAACCCACATAAGCCCCCAAATTATTAGGTAAAATTTTTGCTAAAATTTTGCTGTATTTATTCATTTTTAATCTAATAAACATGTATCTTTTTTTTTTTTTTTTTTCGTAGTATTGGATATTGAACCCCAGGGGTGCTCTACCATTGAGCTACAACCCCAGCCCTTTTTATTTTGAGACAAGGTCTTGCTACGTTGCTCGGGCTGGCCTCAAACTTGTGATCCTCCTGCTTCAGCCTCTCAAGCTGACAGGATTATAGGCGCGCACCACGATCCCCAGGGCATGTACAGTATTTGCAATAAGGGGAAAAAGTTCACAGACCATTATACTCAGGATATCCTCATTCCGAGTCAGAGAGGAGGAAAAACTTAAATGGTATAGACAGGAAGTCAGAAGATAAGAAAAGCTGTAGACAGGGGAAATTCTCTCCCAAGAACAGAGAAGTCCTCAGAGGAACAATTTCTTGAGAAATTATTGAGCAAAGCAAAAACACTTGGCAGCCGACCTGCATATGCAACTCTAAAACCAAAATACAATTAGGTACCAAACAATTATGTTTCAATTTACAGTGGTAGTATTTATCATAGTGGTCCTATAAGATTATATTGTCTAGTGACACCATAGCTATTTGATTTTGCCTAAGGACAAATTTCAAATAAAATATCCCCTATCATTCAATGGTGCATGAAAGAAAAAAACTCTGGCCTTTGCAAAGGAAGTCCCTGGGAACAAAGATTTTTGTGAGCTGTAAGTATGGATTGGGTGGGGTCTGGCAATCCAGTTGGAAAGTAAGAGGAATAGATGGCCAATGGCTCCAAGTCCAAGGTTTTGGGAAGACAGTCATAAGAACTGTGATTCCATTTTTTCTGTTGAAGAGGCTAACTAAGGTTTACTAGCTTCAGGACATAATTACATTTCTCAGTGTAGATATATTTGTTATACCAAATGAAGCTCTTCTTGGCAATTATGAATGGCTGTGCTTAACAAAAAAGGATAAACTTAATAAATGCAATCTGAGCTAGGTGTAGCGACACACATCTATAATCCCAATGGCTTGGAAAGCTGAGACAGGACGATTGCAAATTCAAAGCCAGCTTCAGCAAAAAAGTGAGGTGTGTTAAGTGAGACCCTATCTCTAAATAAAATGCAAAGCCGGGCTGAGGATGTGGCTAAGTGGTCAAGTGCCCCTGAGTTCAATCTCTGGTACCCTGCTCCCCCTAAAAAAAGAATAAGGGAATCATGTTAAGAGGACACAGAAGCTGACCTGAAGTGGGGCTCTGTAGGGCCAGATTTAGGAAACTTGATCATCATAAAAAAATAATGCCAAACTAGGAGCAGTGGAACAGGATTGTAATCCCAGGTACTCGGGAGGCTGAAGCAGGACAATCACAAGTTTGAGGTCAGCCTCAGAAGCTTAGCAAGGACCCTTTCTCAAAAACAAGAAGCCGGGGATATAGCTAACTGGTAGAGTTCTTCTGAATTAAATTCCCAGTACCAGAAAGAAAAAAAAAAATTATGCTAATGGATTATAATATATTGAATAAAAACAAAAACAAAAAAACCCCTAACAATTCCATAGTGGTAACTTAAAATAAGAGAAAGCTCCTTTACAGAAATCAAATAATAAGTATAGAAGAAATGATAGAAAATCACCATTTTACACAATCTAAAAAATGACAAGCAAGAATCACTGTGTGGTAGAAGCTAAACATTCAAACCAATTCAAAGCATCACTCCACAGATACTTAAGTCTGATGGTCACCACTTTAAACATGTGACCAAACTGCATCACCAATAAAGGAATAACCCTCATCAAGTGAGTATCCACTAATGCAATCATCACATCAAAATTGGTCTTAATCTGATTATCTGGAAACACTGAACCAAAACCTTTTGTGTTGCCACCAAAAAAAAAATACATATAAAAATGTATATGTATATGTACATATAAAAATACAAAATAGACATAAGAATCAAAAGCAGGTGTGAGTCTTGTCTGGGTTTTGATCTGAAGGAAAATAAACTAAAAACTTAAAAAAAAAAAAAAAAAAATCCAGTTGGGGAAATCCAAATATGGACCAGGTATGAAGTGTTGGGAAACTACTGTTACTTTTCTTTGTTATGTTAATGGCATTGTAACTGTTCAGAACATCTTTACCTTTAGCAAGGGGCATGTTGAAGAATCTGGGGATGAACTTTCATAATGTTTGCCCTACTCTCAAAGGATTCACTAGGGAGGGGAAGCAAATGAGAAAAAATTTTTACAACAACTGTACCTGAGGGAATAAAGGTCTTCGTTAAAGTATCCTCCCAACTTTTCTGTATTTGATATCTTTATTTACAAAAAAGAAAATGATCCAGTAACATTAGATCAGGTAATTATGTTGAAAAAGCCACCTATTTTTTAGTTTCTCAAAAATTAAAAAATTCTCAGGTCTTACATACAGAGATTATAAATTGAGGCTTGGGAATCTACTCATTGAATTTCATATTAAATTAGTGATTTCTCAGGGGCTGGGGATATAGCTCAGTTGGCAAAGTGCTTGCCTCACATGCACAAGGCCCTGGGTTCAATCCCTAGCACTACCAAAAAAAAAAAAAAAAAAAAAAACCAACCCCACAAACTAGTGGTTTCTAGTGGCTGGGGCTGTGGCTGTGGCTCAGAGGTAGCGCACTTGCCTGGCATGTGTGAGGCACTGGGTTCGATTCTCAGCACCACATATTAATAAATAAGTAAAATAAAGATCTATCAACAATTTTTTAAAAATTAGGTTTCTCAAGAAAGTGCTTAAGCCCAACACAGTAGTGCCCGTCTGTAATTCCAGCTACTTCGGGAGGCTAAGGCAGGAGGATAAAAAGTTCAAGGTTAACCTAGGTAATGTAATGAGACCCTGTCTCAAAATAAAAAGTATAAAAGGTTTGGGGGGGGGCTGGAGATGTGGCTCAAGCGGTAGCGCGCTCGCCTGGCATGCGTGCGGGCCGGGTTCGATCCTCAGCACCACATACAAACAAAGATGTTGTGTCTGCCGAATACTAAAAAATAAATATTAAAAAAAATTCTCTCTCTCTTTAAAAAAAAAAAAAGATGAATATTTAAAAAAAAAAAAGGTTTGGGGGTGTAGCTCAGTGGTAGAGCACCCCTGGGTTCAATTTCCAGTACCTTAAACAAAACAAATGATGTCCTTGAGGAGATTAGAGGAAAAGGGATCCAGTTTATAAGTCTAGGATTTAGCTGTAAGAGAAGCTGGTAACAGATGAGAAGGCAGGGTACTGAGTGGGGTGGAAGTTTCCTTGAAACTAGTTTAGTCTTTCCTGGTCCCTTGGATTTTTTTGGAGTGGGGGGTGGGGGATGGGAGAGTGGGGCTGGTACCAGGGATTGAACCCAGGGGCACTTAAGCGCTGAGCCACATCCCCAGACCTTTTTTGAATTTTATTTAGAGAAATCTGTTGTGTGTGGGGGGGGGATATCTTTCTGAGTTGTTTAGAGCCTCTCTTAAGTTGCTGAGGCTAGCTTTGAACTGTCGCTCCTCCTGCCTCAGTCTCCCACATTGCTGGGATCACAGGCGTGTACTACCCATGCCCAGCTTGAATTTGATTTTTTAAAAGCTATTATAGGGCTGGGGTTGTGGCTCAGTGGTAGAGCACTCACGTAGCATGTGTGAGGTCCTGGGTTCGATTCCCAACACCACATTAAATAAATAAATAAATAAATAAATAAGGGTGTTGTGTCCAACTACAACTAAAAAATATATCATTTTTTTAAGAGAGAAATTTTTAATATTTAGTTTTCAGTTTTTGGTGGACACAACATCTTTATTTTTTTATGTGGTGCTGAGGATCCAACCCAGCGCCCCACGCATGCCAGGCGAGCACCTTACCGCTTGAGCCACATCCCCAGCCCTAAAAAATATATCTTAAAAAAAAAAAAAAAAAAGCTATTATAGCAGCGTTCAGTAGTACACACCTGTAATACCAGGTACTTGGGAAGCTGAGATGGGGGGGTCACAAGTTCAAAGGCAGCCTGAGCAACTTAGTGAGATCCTGTCTCAAAATAAAAAGCAGCTAGGCAAGTGTCACATGTCTTCGGCTCAGGAAGCTGAGACAGGAAGATTGCAAGTTCAAAGTCAGCCTCAGCAACTCAGCAAAGTCAGGCACTAAGCAACTCAGAGAGACCCTGTGTCTAAATCAAATACAAAATAGGGCTGGGGATGTGGCTCAGTGTCCCTGAGTTAAATTCCCTGTACCAAAAAATAAAAAGAAAAAATTAAAATAAAAAGAATAAAGGGCTGGACATGTAGTTCAGTGGTAGAGCTCTGCTGGGCTCAATCCCCAGTATGGCAAAAATTAATAAAAACCATTAAAAAAAAAAAAGTTTAGGCAGAGCATTAGAGAAAGAACATACAGATATTCTGCCCACAGAGACTGGGTGGAGTCAGAATGCTCCATGACCTTCTGACCTGCTTATCTGAACTTGGGCAGGATATGTCCCAGAGTAGTCACCTGGTTTCCTGGCTTGCCCAAGACCCTGGGGCTGCCAGATAAGGCTTCTGCCAGTCTGTCATACTACATCAGAATGTTAGGAGCCCTCTGCCACCCATTCTGAATTTACTTAACCCCACTGGAGTTTGAGGTATGCTTTGTTTTGGCATCAAGGCAGCAGAATACATAAACATGTAGGGCCTTGTCACTGTAGGATGATAGCCATAATTTTTCACCCAAACTGGGATGCTTTTGAAAATATAATTACTCAAAAAACAAAAAAAAGATAATTACTCTAGGACAGCATGTGTTAAATGCCCTGCACATAGGGAGATGTATATTCAGCTGCCAGTGGAGAGAAGGTTGAGATATCCTTGATGATGGCTGCTCCAAGCCTGGTACCAGGAGGCATTTTCCAAAAGAGCATCTCCTTCCCCCTTGAGTCAGCTTTGTGAGAAGCATCTGTTCCCAGGGGCCCATGAGGGGAAAACAGGACCCAGCTGCAGAGGCAAGGCCTTTGTTTTGCTAGCTTTCATGTCTGTCATGACCTCAGCAGCCCAAGCCCCGAGACAGCCAGAAAGTGTAGTCTATCCTGCAACAGACTCAGGGAGCCACCATGTTCCTGCAAACTGAGATGCTCAGACACTAATCTCTCTCAGATCTCAGGATCTCTAAAAGCTCTTTAATATACCCACTTTAGAAATAAGCATGGGGATTGCATCATCCCATGAGCATCTTGGTAGAGTCAGTAACAGAGCTGGGGAGCAAAAGCTTCCATAATTTTCCAGAACATTCTTCTGTAAAATTGTCTTGCTTCCCACCAATAATAAATATTTCTTTCAATGGTTTAAAAAAAAAAGGTAAATACAAAAAACAGCTTGGGGACAAATGGAAAAATCTGAACACTGCCTGGATATTAAATAATATTAGGAAATTGTTAATTTTCATGGATGTGGTAACAGCCTATGGTTTTTGTCAAATTCATTCTCAGGAGAAGCTTGTTGAAGTATCTAGAGATAAAGTATCATGATATCTGCAGTCTCTCTGAAATGGTTCAGAAAAATAAAAGATAAGCAGCCAAATGTTAACAACTTTTGAATTTAGGTGCTAGATATATGTGTGTTTAATATGGTTATTTCAACTTTTTGGTGAATTTTAAATTTTTCATTAACAAAAAGCAACTAATTCCTTATTTTTATTTATTTATTTATTTTTTAAGAATTGCTAATGTCTTCATTAAAGAAACAATATGCCCACGGGTGGGGGTATAGCTCAGTTGGTAGAGGGCTTGCTATGCATGTATAAGGCCCTCAGTTCAATCCCCAGCACCACAAAAAAGAAAAAGGAAAAAAAAGAAACAATATGCCGAATGAAGGTGCTAAAAAATAAATTAGACCCAATGTGACACATTTCAATAGAGAACAATAAAATTAATTCAATGCTTGTCCCTTAGTATGCTACAGATTCTGTCAAACTGTGCTTTTGCTCTCTTTATAAATAAAACCTAAACTAACAATATGGAAGCATTTGAAATTTATTTATTTATTTATTTATTTTTCAGTTTTCGGTGGACAGAACATCTTTATTTTATGGGGAGCTGAGGATCTAACCCAGCGCCCCATGCATGCCAGGGGAGCACATTACTGCTTGAGCCACATCCCCAGCCCAGAAGCATTTGAAATAAAAATATATATATATATATTAAAGCTCCCTTTCTCCCTACTTTCTTTCCACAAAAAGCAACTAATTCTTTTTCTTTTTTTTTTTTGTGATGCTGGGGATTGAACCCAGGGCCTTGTGCATGCGAAGCAAGCACTCTACCAACTGAGCTATGTGTCTAGCTCAAAAAGGACCTACTTCTGATTCATTTCTCCCACAGACATTTGCTCCATTACTTGCTAACTCTGAAGCAAAGCTCCTCGAAAGAATTGTCTGTTTTTTCTAATTACTCTTTTGCTCTGTTCTTACTTTTTTTCTGATTGTTTTACCCCTTTAACAATCTAATCTATTTTGCTGAACTGGGGTTTGAACCCAGGGGCTCTATGCCCCAAAGTTACATCCCCTGCCCTTTTTATTTGAGACAGGTTCTCCCTAAGTGTCTGAGGCTGGCCTTGAATTTGAGATTCTTCTGCCTCAGTATCCTGAGTGACCGGGATTATAGGATTACAGGTGTGTACCACCGCTTCTGGCCTCTTTCTCTTTTTTCCTTTTTCCTCAGGGTAGACCAAGGAGAGTTTTACCAGTGAGGTACACCTCTAGTCCTTTTTTTTTTTTTTTGGTACCAGGAATTGAACCCAGAGACACTTAACCACTGAGATACATCCCCAGCACTTTTTATTTTTTATTTTCAGACAGGGTCTCACTAAGTTACTCAGGGCCTCATTAAATTGCTGAGGCTGATTTTGAATTTGTGATCACCCTGCCTCAGCCTCTTCTTCAGGTGTGTGCCCCCACACCCAGCTCATTCAGGTTTTTCTTCCCATTCCTCCACTGAACCTGAATCAAAGTCATGAACATCTATATGGCTGAATCCAATGCCCTCTTCTTACTCTTCAAGGTTCTGATTCCAGTAATGGCTAGGTAGGTCCTACTGGCCAACCCATTCCACAAATAACAACTAGAAATATTATACAAAATGTAAAAATCAGCTACCCTAGTTCAGCCAAGTTAATTGCTTGCAAAAACAAATGTCAACGTTCTTGGGAATCCGGACGTACCTCAGAGGTACAGCATTTACCTAACGTGTGAGACCCTGGATTCAATCCCCAGTACCACCAAAAAAAAAAAAAAGTCAACATTCTCTAGGGAAACAGAAATTCTATAATGTATCAATCATGACGTACAAAAAATTGGTAAACATTCAGTGAAATAAGAAAGTGTGATCTGACCTATATTCAAAACAAGGCAAAGAGTATGACAAAACCTAGGATAACTCATATATTGGAAATTAGCAAACAAGGATCTTAAAGTGGTTACTGTAACCTAGAGAAAAATGCTCGTAATGACTGAAACGTAGTAAATTTCAGCATATAAACACAAGCTATAGATGGCTGGGGTTCCACCTCAGTGATAAAGTGCTTACCCAGCAAGAGGCCCTGGGTACAAACCCTAACACCACACACACACACACACACACACACACACACACACACACAGAAAGGAAGAAAGAACCATATGGCAATTTAAAACTGAAAAATGGGCTGGGGACATAGCTCAGTTGGTACAGTGCTTGCCTCGCATGCACAAGGCCCTGGGTTTCATCCCCAGCACCACAAAAAACAAAAATAAAAACAAAAATCAACAACCCTGAAAAATATGATAGATGAAGTTAAAAATTCACAAGATAGGCTTAACAGCAGACTGACGAGAACATTGGAAAGGAATAGACATATATATAATAGAATATGTAGGGCTGGGGATGTGGCTCAAGCGGTAGCACGCTCGCCTGGCATGCGTGCGGCCCGGGTTCGATCCTCTGCACCACATACAAACAAAGATGTTGTGCCTGCCAAAAACTAAAAAATAAATAAATAAATAAATATTAAAAAAAAAAAAAATAGAATATGTATATACACATATGTATTCTCAGATAAAGATAATAGGAAGAGGTAGAAAAATGTAATGGCCAAATACTTCTAAAATTTGGTGAGAGACATAAATTCACAGATTTAAGAATCTCAGAGAACACTCCCCTCAAAAAAAAAAAAAAAAAAAAAAAACAGAATAAATACAAAAAAAAACATGTCTACATATATCATAGTCAACTGCTAAAAACCAAAGATAAGAGAGTACCCCCACAAGTCCTGGAATCAACCTCAGCACCATTTAAAAAAAAAAAAAGCAAGTAAATACATTTTCAGATAAAAACAAACTGAAAGAATCTGTCACCAGCAGATTGTACTGCTGCAAAAGTGCTAAGTGCTTCTTTCAAGTTAAAGGGAAGTCATGTCAAAGGTGACTTGGATATTTTTAGGAAAGAAGAAAGCACTGGAAACAGTAAAGAGAATAGCTTCCCCTCTTAGTTTCATTAAATACACTTACCTTTAAAACAAAAATTATAATAGTGTACTGTAAGATTTATATGAAATTATGTAGATGCAACAAATATGATAATACATAGCTTAAAGATTAGAGAAAAGATGGCAAAGTTCTTTCATTTTATACAAAGTAACTCTGAAAAGCTAATGATGCATACTACAATCTCTAAAGCAAGCATTTTAAAAAAATGTCAATAACAAATAGCTATAATACCAACAGATAAATTTAAATGGAGTTGAAAACGAATTTTAATCAGTTCCTGTCTGAGGCAGGAAGATCACAAGTTCAAGTTCAAGGCCAGCCTCAGCAACTTAGAGAGACCCAGTCTCAAAATAAAAAGTAAAAAAGGTTGGGGATGTGGCTCAGTGGTAAAGTGTCCCTGGGTTCAATCCCTAGTGCCAAAAAAAAAAAGTTAATGAACTAAATAAAACACTGATTAAATTCTCAGCTTCCATCTTGCTGGCCTGTCAGCAACATTTATCCCAACTGACACTCTTTCCTTTACTCATTTTGTTGCCTCCTAGGACCATATTTATTTTTATTCTTCCTTCCCAGCTGGTCTCATTTTTAGTGTTCTCCCAGAATTAAGACTTGAATTAAAATATGGCCCAGGAACTCAGGGCTTCATTTTCCCTCTTTATTATGTACTCCCTATTCAGTTTCAAAGTCCAATTCTGTGATTAAAAACCTATAATTTCAACTACTTGGGAAGCTGAGGCAGAAGATTTGCAAGATCCAGGCCACTTAAGAAGACCTTGTCTCAAAATAAAAGTAACAAAGTACCCCTGGGTTCAATATCCTGTACTGAGGAGGAAAAAAAAAAAAAAATCCAATTCTGCCCACATTTCTTTCCAGATCTCCATATAGCAATCAGTCTGTTAAATATCTCCACTTAAATGTCTAACGTATTGTTGGAGGTGTTGAACTTAAGGAGCTTATTTTTTCCTTACACTTACTCCACCCAAGGTAGACAGCCCTATTTTAAGTGAAGGCACGAGGATCTTCTTGCTTGCTCAAGTCCAAAACCTGAATTATCATAAACTCCACCCTTCATTCTATTCTTTTCTTTCTTTTTAATTTAAACTAGAGAGTTAACCCAGAAGCACTCTACCACTAAGCTATTTCCTCAATCCTTTGTTTTTTTTAATTTTTGAAACAGGGTTTCACTAAGTTGCCAAGAATGGCATCAAACTTGTGAGCCTTCTGCCTCAGCCTGCACAGCTACTGGGATTTATAGGTGTGGGCCACCATACCCAGTTCCACTTCTTTAATACTCTTTATTTAGCTCAGATAACCTTAAACTTTATATATAAATAACTGTGGAGAGCCATCCTCACGTGTGACTGGGTGACTCCCGGTTTGGGTCTGAGGCTTCTGGCTGTGTCAGAATTTTCCCAGCCCTCTCCTGATGAGAGAACCCGTCCGTGTGGGTGTGTGACTGACCACTGACCCCGGGGGCCCAATCATTGACCCTGTCCTTGGAGTGCCGCCCCCCCCCTCAACCTTCATTGGATGGAATTATCCCCTGAATTTCTTGTTCCCCAATAAAGGCGTGCTCGCTCGCTCTCTCCTGCTAGCCCTGAGTAATCCTTGCTCCTGGTTGGAGCCAGAGAGGGGAGCCGTCTCCGACCTGGTCATAGAAAAAGGTAACTGAGTCTGTGTGTTTATTTCGATCTCTGCTAGCTAACTTTTATGCCAAGAACCTCATTAATGAAACCAATGCGCAGGCCACATGGTGGAAATAACTATTCACCACCACCCCCACTGCTATCATGATCTCCTGCCTAAATTACTGAAAAGGCCTCTGCAATGATCTCCCTGCTTCTGTACTGTCCTAGAGACCTACAATGTTACCAAAAGATTAATTCTTTTTTTTTTTTTTTTAAGTACTGGAGATTGAATCCAGGGGTGCTTAACCACTGAGCCACATCCCTAGCCCTTTTCATTTTTTATCTGAGACAGGATCTCACCAAGTTCCTTAGGGCCTAGCTAAATTGCCTTCAAACTTGTAATCGTCCTGCCTCAGTCTCCCAAACTGCTGGGATTACAGGCACATATCACCATGCCCAGCTAATCCTCTTATGAGACTCAGCTAGGGGTGTAGCTCAGTGGTACAGTGTTTGCCTAGCCTGTGTAAGGACCTAAGTCTGATCCCTAGAACTGGGGATACAGATACACATACACATACACACACACACACACATACACACACACACACACACACAGTCAAATCTTGTAACCTTTTTTTGTATCAGGTGCTTAACCACTGAGCCATATCCTCAGCCCCTTTTATTTTTTATTTTGAGACAGAGTTTCACCAAGTTGCTTAGGGCCTCCCTAAATTGCTGAGCCTGGTCTTGAACTTGCAATCTTCCTGTTTTAGCCTCCTGATTTGCTGGTGTATGCCACCATACCTGGCAGTAATAATGTTATTGTTAGATTTTAGGCATTTCCCAAATGCTCATGTGTAAGGCAATGCAAGAAGGCTTACAGGTGAAATGATTAGGTGATGAGAGCCTTAACCTAATCAGTGCATCAATACACTGATAGGGATTAACTGTCTGGTAACTACGGCAGGTAAAGGTGTAGCTAGAGCTGGGTCATTGGGGGCATGCCTTTAGTTTTGTACTTTATTTGTGGTGAGGGAATCTCTGTCTCTCTGCATCTCTCTTTGCTTCCTGGTGCCATATTCCCAACTGCTTTCCTCTATCACACACTTCTGCCATGATATTCTGCTTTACTTCAGGTCCTGAGGAACAGAGTAGGTCTATGGAATAAGACCTCTGAAACCATTAGACCCAAATAAACTTTTTCTCCTCTAAAATTGTTTGTGTCAGGTCTTTTGGTTGCAGCAATGAAAAATGTGACTAAAACAGAAATTTGCACCAGGAATGGGTTTGCTGCTGTAAGTACCCGAAACATGTGATTCAGAAGCTTTTTGGAATTTGTATGAGGAAAATTTGGAAAGTCTAGTGATGAAAAGCTTTAGAATGTTTTAAGTGGAATTACCCATTAAGGGAGCTCAGAAAACCAGAATGCCAATAGGATTGCAGACAGTTATGACTGGGCTCATGAGATCTGAGGAAAAGGAGAATTCTATTGGAAATTGACTAGAGGCCATTCATGTGCTGTTTACCTTTTGCCCATATCCTGAGACTTTCTGTGACACTGAATTTAATGGTGATGGACTAAATAATCTGACAGAAGGAATTTTTAGGCAGCACAGCATTCAGTTGGTGGTATGGGCATTGTTGGCAGCAGTTTATTGTGATAATTAGGAATAGAAAGCAAAAAAGAAAGACTGGATAAACTTGCAGTTTAGCCAGAAAAGTGAGAGTAAATCTGGGGCTAAGAAATGTGTGGGAATTTTTTGTTTGTTTTGATGCCAGGGATTGAACCTAGGATGCTTAACCACTGAGTCACATTCCCAGCCCTTTCTATTTTTCAATTTTGAGACAGAGTCTTGCTAAGTTACTTAGGGCCTTGCTAAATTTCTGAAGCTGGATTTGAATTTGTGATTCTCCTGCCTTAACCTCCTAAACTGCTGGGGTTATAGGCATGAGTCACTATGCCTGGCTGGAATGTATGGTTTTTAACACCATTACAGCCACTAAAGAAACACCAAAGGCTCTGACCAGACAATAAGAAAGACGGCTTAAGGACATACCTCAGGAATTGGCAAAATAACACCTATCTCATACTCCAGGGAGTAAAAGTAAAATTTCTTTGAAAAGAGACCACTTCCAGCATGGGGGTGAGGGCGGGGGTGTGCTAGGAAGTTGTTTCACCATCCTCAGCTGTCCATGCTGTAATTAGGCGGTTATGGAAGCTCTTCCACCAAAATTCCAAAGGCCTGGGAGGCCAGGCAAAGAGCTCCAGGGTCAGAGTCTGCAGGTAGCCCCTGAGAGGCTATGCATGGAGATGTGAGAAGGAAACCAAAGCTGCAGTAGAGACCCTTGAGATTAAGAAATGCCAGTACCATGGAATGTCTGCCTAAGAAAGCTAAGAGGCCACGTAAGCTGCCACCACCAAAGCCACAGGCACAGAGCTATACAAACCCTTTGCAGAGAATATCAAGATGCTATGTGCCCCAGAAACAGGACACAGAACTACAGGATTTATTTGCCCACCTGAATTTTGGTCTGCTTTGGCCCATATCCCTATTTCTCCTTTTCTCCCTTTTGGAATGGAAATGTTTACTCTGTGCCTTCATGTTGGATATATATAACTTACTTTTGATTTTTTGTCGAGCCACATCCAAGCCACCCCCCCCCCGCCCTTTTTTTTTCAGTTTGAGACAGGGCCCTGCTAAGTTGCTGAGGCTGGTCTCAAACTTGTGATCTTCTTGCCAGAGCCTCTCTGGGATTATAGGCCTGTGCCACCACACCAAACTTGCTTTTGATTTTTATGGGGACTCACACTGAGAGTTTGCCTTGAGTCTCAAAGGAGACTTTGGACTTGTACTTTTAGGAAATCCTGGAACTTTTGAGACCATGGGGACTCTTGAAAATGGACTAAATGCATTTTGCATGTGAGGCAGGAATGAGCTTTTGGGAGCCAAGGGGAATGTTATGGTTAGATTTTTAGGTGTTCCTCAAAAGCTCATGTGTAAGAAAATGCAAAGTTTACAGGTGAAATGATTCAGTTATGAGAACATTAACTTAATCAGTGCATGAATCCACTGACAGGGATTAACTGGGTGGTAACTGTAGAGCAGGCAGGTATGACTGGAGGAGGTGAATCATTGCGGGCAGGGTGCCTTTGGGGTATATATTTTGTCTGTGGTGAGGGAATCTCTGTCACTCTATCTCTGGTTCCTGGTGCCATGTTCTCAGCTTCTTTCCTTCACCATACACTTCAGACCTGATATTCTCCTTCACCTCAAGCCCTGAGGAACAGAGTAGGTCTTTGGAATAAGACCTCTGAAACCATTAGACACAAATAAACTTTTCCTCCTCTAAAATTGTTTTAGTTAAAAAGTTAACTAAAACAGGGCTGGGGATGTGGCTCAAGCAGTAGCACACTCGCCTGGCATGCATGCAGCCCGGGTTTGATCCTCAGCACCATACAAACAAAGATGTTGTGTTTGCCGAAAACTAAAAAATAAGTATTAAAATTCTCTCTCTCTCAAAAAAAAAAAAAAAAAAAAAAAGTTAACTAAAATAAATATCCTATCTTCTTCCGAGTGGCCTTCCCTGCCACTCAATCTGTGATGTACCCAGTCAGTGGCCTTCTTTTTTATTGTATTTTACTTATTTCTTTTTTGTGGTAGGGTCTCACTATGTTACCTAGCCTACTCTCAAACTCTTGGGCTCAAGGGATCGTCCTTTTGCCTCAATCTCCAGAGTAGCTGGGATTATCAGTGAGCACCACCACACCCAGCTCTCAATCACTTTTCTATCTTTCTTTCTTTTTCTTTTTAATTTTGAGACACTAAGCTATTTAGGGCCATACCAGATTGCTGAGGCTGGATTTGAACTCAAGATCTTCCTGCTTGAGTTCAAATCCTCCTGCTTCGGCCTCCCAAGCCACTGAGATTACAGGCATGCAATGAGATTACAGCTCTCAAGTAACTTTTCTTAAGATATCATCCCACTTAAGTCTCTGTATAGCCCTTATTACTATAGTACCTGAAATTTGCTTGCTTTTAAGTTCTTTTTAGCAGCTGTCCATACCCACTCTATCAAATTCCATATAGACACTACAGAGAGAGCTTCATGCTATAGAGTCTTCACTATACAGGGATTCCTCACTGTAGGCCTAGCACCTAGACTAGTACCTGACATGGAACAGGTGCTCAACGAATACTTAATGAGTGAGCAGAAGCAGGTGACCTGGGCCTTATGTGCTGCCAGATTCCACTCTGCTCTTCCAAAGGACATCAAACTGGGTACTTCAAGATGCCAATCCACAGGAAAAAGAAGGCTCCTCTATGTGGGATAAGCCAGTGCCTCACCTCTGAATGGTTTCCTCCTGTTCCTTAACCATGTGTGCCAACTGCTGAAAGATGGAGCCCAGCTCAACAATTGTAGACTCTATGTTCTGCATGGTATCTGCCCGACTCTGGATATAGGAATCCTTTAAGGGAGGAAGAGAGCAAATTAGCAGTATGAGCTTCTTCAAGGGAAGAGTCTTTAGGACTTTCCCAGCTTGCCATTCCACCCATGGCACGCTCCACTGTCTTGGGACCCACAGAGAACAGAAGAGCTCATCCTCCTCAATTTAGAGCCTGAGTACCTGCTCATCAATGAGCTGCAGTTGCTGGCTGGTCCGGGAGTCCATCATGTCAATGGCTACATCCCTGGAGCCACGAGACTCTGCCCCCAAAACCACAGGACCTCCCCCTGCAGAAGAAAGAGGACATGGCACATCTTAATAGTTAAAGGCAGGTTCAAAGCCCACATGCTCTGGATTTGAATCCCAGCTCTGGCACTTACTAGCCTTGTGACCCTGGACAGATCATTTAACCTCTCTGAGCCTCAGTTTCCTCACCTGTAAAATGGGGATAATAATAGTTGCTTTTTCAAAGGGTGGTTGTGACAATTAAATGAGAGAATGCGAATAAGTGCACAAAACATTTAGATACTCTAATTCAATCTCAAAATGATTGAATTCACCCCCAACAGAGAGAATGTGGAAGACTAATTGTGGATAATGAATCCCCATAATCAAGTCTGACATCTGAGAAATGCCTACCAAATTCCTGGCCCCTCCATTCTCCTATCCAATACCTGTCTCTAGATGCCATCACAGCCACAGTAACCAAGAGTAGCCACCAGGGCTTCCCATATTGCCTGTGACTTACCCAGGTGGTTGGGGGCAAGGGGCAGGGCTGACACAGGCGCCCGGGAGAACTGTTCCCGCCGGCTCCTCTGCTGCTTCAGATTCTGGGGTTAGGGAAAAAATGCAAAGGTCCTGATGCCTCTGTAAGTGAGTATATTAAAGAGATCCCTCTTCTTAGCCCCATGACCCTGTGGAACTTGTCCCTTTTCCATTTTCTCTTGGGCCCTTACTCCCACATTTCTATCCCTTTTTTCAGATTCCTCTCACCTCTGTCCTCACTTCTAAAACTGATTTGAAGTCATTGGACATGGAAGCCAGTTTTGACTAGAAGAAAAGGAGAAAGAATCAAGCAAAGAAAATCCAGTTTTCTCACTCCCTCCCTCCATCCCCCAAGGTCCCACCTGCAAGGAGACCACAATGGTGTTGGAATGGGTCTGCAGGTGCCGGCCACTCTGGCTGCCCTTGGCCTTCACAAAATCCTGAAGCTGAGCGATTTGTTTGTTGAGGCTATTGATGTCCTGGTAAAAGAGCCCATAGAAAAACCGAGTATTAACCAAGGAGTCCTCAGCCAGCGTCTCTATCCATGGCCATCTCTAGCAGGGAAGGCAGGATGAAAGTTACTAGCAGGAGTGAGTGTCCCAGACAGTCAGATCAGAAGGGCTTGCTAGAATTTTCCAAGCTCTCTTGTGTTTGCTCTGTCTCAGTACCTGCAGAGAAGAGCCAGAAAAACGCAAAGTAGGGCCTCATCCATTTATGGGTGACTGATTCTCATTTACCCCTCTACTTATGTCCTGCTCCACCCTGTGAGGCTACAAAACCATTTCACAGGACAAGTCTTGGACCCAGAGCATGCTGTCCAACAAAGCACCTGTACAATACTCAGGAAAAGGGAGGACTTGAAGGCACCAAAGTTTTCCAGAGCAATCAACAAAATGATTTTTACACAAAGAATTTGTAATATTACAGCAAGAGTAAAACTGTGAATTGTCCAAGGTCACACACAGTGAGTTAGTAGCAGAGCCATGCTTTCTACACCAGTGTGTCAACTGCTCCCCAAACCAGCCTGCCAAGGGACAAGTGAGACAAAGAAAATGGAGGTGGCAGCCAGCAAGTGACCAAGAAAGCTTGTCCCAGGGTGAGAAAAGAAAAGAGGTGGCCTAGGGATGTAGTAGCTCAGTGGTAGAGTACTTCCTGAGCATGTGCTAGCATCTGGGTTCCATCCCCATAAGGAAATGGTGGGGAGAGGAGGTGGTCAAGAATAAATAATGAATATAAGAAATAGGCCAGAGTACCAGGCATGGTGGCACATGTTTGTGACCCTAGCAGCTTGGGAGGCTGAGGCAGAAGGATCGTGAATTCAAAGCCAGCCTCAGCAACTGAGTGAGACCCTATCTCAAAAATTTCTTAAAAAATGGGGCTGGGGATGTGGCTCAAGCGGTAGCGTGCTCGCCTGGCAGGCATGCGGCCCGGGTTCGATCCTCAGCACCACATATAAACAAAGATGTTGTGTCCACCAAAAACTAAAAAAAATGAAAAAAAGAGTGAAGCATCCTTGGGTCCAATCTCTGGAACCAAAATAAATGAATCAATAAATAGGCTAGAGCTAGACACAGTGGCACAGGACTAGAAAGAAAAATTCTGAATTTTTCTCTTGGATATTGTAGAAGGTCTTAGATGCAACACCAGAATCCATGTAACGAGTTTAGGTAAGAAAGAAAGAGGGCTGGGGATATAGCTCAGTGGCTCAATGTTTGCCTTAGGTTTGATGATACTCAGTCAGTACTGCCAAAAAAAAAAAAAAAAGAGAGAGCAAGAGAACAGAGTGCTGGGATGCACAGCTACTTAGGAAGCTAAGGCAGGAGGGTTGCAAATTTTCTCCCTGACAAAATCTCCCCTAGGGTTCTGGCTTTAAAAAGGCACCACTGCCCACAACGGCACCCAAGTGAGAAGCACCTAATCACATACTCACATCTCCTTAGCCCAGCTATTTGCTACCATACAAATGTAATCTACTGAGTGCTTACTGTGTACTTAGTACTCTATTAAACATTATGACTGAGCTGGAGATGTAGCTAGCTCAGTGAGAAAGTGCTTAGCCATGTGTGAGGCCCTGGGTTTGATGTCTAGTGCCAAAATGACACTGAAACACAAAACTCCATAATTGCTTTGTATTTGTTTACAGTGTGCCATGTAACATGCTGAGAGTGTTTCAATTTTATCTCTGTCCTTAAATTTAACAAAGAAAATTCTTTTACTTAACAGGTTTTAATTTACCCTCAAAAGCTATTCTTGGGGGAAAAAAAAGTTATTCTTGGGCTGGGATTGTGGCTCAGTGGTAGAGTGCTTGCCTAGCATGTGTGAGGCACTGGGTCTGATTCTCAGCACCACATATAAATAAATAAAAGTCCATCAACAACTAAAAAATATTAAAAAAAAAAAAAAAAGTTATTCTTGTCAGGGCACGGGGGTGCATGACTATAATCCCAGCAGCTCGGGAGGCCAAGGCAGGGGAATCATGAGTTCAAAGCTAACCTCAGCAAAAACCCAGGCTCTCAGCATCTCAGCACTCAATGAAACACTGTCTCTAAATAAAGTACAAAATAGAGCTGGGAATATGGCTCTAGCGCCCCTGAGTTCAATCCCCAGTACCAAAAAAGAAAAAAAGAAAACAGCCATTTTTCTCCTTCTTTCTTTTTCACTTTTGGTAAATGGCACCACTATACACCAGATGCTCGGACCAAAAACCTAAAAGCTATTCTTTTTTTTTTTTTTTTAAAGAAAGAGAGAAAGAGAGAGAGAGAAGAGAAGAGAAGAGAGAAAGAATATCTTTTTTTTTTATAGATGGACACAACACAATGCCTTTATTTTTATGGGGTACTGAGAATCGAACCCGGGTCCTACCAGTGCTGGGTTTAGATGAGTGTGCAAATGCCTTAGCACAGTGCTAAGGCATTTGTCTGCAATCCCTAGTACCAAAAAAAACAAACAAAACCAAAAATACCAATCTCCCAGGAGCTTTTACCACTAAATTTAGAATACGACCCATCTCCTTAGTTGGCTTGTACAGGCTCTCTGGTCTAGCCCCTGCCACCATCTAGTCTTCTCACCTGCTGGGCTGTAGCCACACTCTGGACCTTTTCCCTTTGTGCCTCAAGGTTACCCACACTTTGGATCTTTTCCCTTTGCTGTTCCCACTTTACAAACTACATTCCCACTTTCTGGAATATGCTCCCACCAGATCTTTGGATGAACTTTCCTTCATATTTGGGTCTAAATGTCCCTTCTTCAGCCAGACTAGCCTGTAGGAATCCCCCTAGGTACAGTAATCATAGCCCTGAAAGTCACTCAACTATGTTAGTAATTAAAGGAAACAAATGAACCTTAAAGAGGACTGTGAGGTAGACATCATCATCATCTCCTCCTTACTGATAAGGGAACTAAAGCTCAGAGAAGTTAGGGGGTACCCAAGTCACAATCTAAACGGTAGACTTATTTGAATTCAAGCCCTTCTAAACCTAGTAGGCTGCTTCTTAAATGCATAAACAATAAAACCCCAATAGTTAGAGGAACTCTCTTTTTTCCACCAGCATGGAATAGGTCTGCCCTTTGGCCTCTGTCATCATCATCATCATCTTTATTCAGGACAATCAAAGCAGCCTCCTTCCTCGTCTCTGCCCTGTCCATGTTCCAAGTCAGACTCCACTTGTAGCCCACAGCATTCAAGATGATTCCACAGCCCTTAGCATAGCACACATTATTCTTCATAAGCAGTCACCAAACTATCTTTCCAGTCTCCTGCGAATCACTTATTCAATCAGTGCCTAGTAGATGCTAGACACCTATAAGCCCTTGGGGTACATCTGTGAACAAGAAAAAAAAAAAAAAAACCTGGTATTGTGGTGTTCATGTATCTTTTCTTTCTTTTTATTGAGAGGTGGAATGTGGGAAAGGAGGAGGGAGGAAGGAATAAACAATAAATAAAAATAAGCTAATTATAGAGAATGTTAGAAAGTTCAAATATTATGAAAAAAGAAATAGAGCAGAGTAAGGAGGATAGGAGTTTGGGCTGATGGAGCATTAAACACCACGATTGCCAAGTGTGGTAGCACATGCCTATAATCCCAGCAACTCAGGAGACTGAGGCAGGAGGATCAAAAGTTCAAAGCCAGTCTCAGCAACTTAGCATGGCCCTGTCTCAAAATTTAAAAAAAAAAAAAGGGAGATGGGGTGGGACGGGGATGTGGCTCAGTGGTTAAGCACCCCTGGGTTCAATTCCAAGAACCAAAGGGGGAGGGGGGACCCACACTATGATTGGGATAGGCCTCCCTGAGCAGGTGACATCTGAGACTTGTTTTTTTTTTTTTCTTTTTACAGTATTGGGAATGGAACCCCAAGTCTCACACATGCCAGGCAAGCTCTCTACCTCTGAGCTATATCTCCAGCCCAGACTTTTCCTTTTATTATCCACACCTCTGCATAGCTTCATCTTCCTGGAATGTCCTCCTACTACCTTTACACCCAGCCTTGAATTCAGCTCAGATTTCACCCTCTAGTCTATCAATCTTTCCCAGTACCCCCTACTGTGTCAATCATCTTTTTGTAAGATCTTTTCTTTATCATTCATTCCTACTCACTGTAAGTATAGATCATGGAGCTGGATCACTCTTTTGCGTAGTAAGTCCTTGAAAGTAAGAACTTTGCCTCATGTTTGTGTCACCAGAGCCTAGTACAGTGCTTGGTAGATAATCAGTAAGCATCTACTGACTAAATGGGGGAACTAAATGGCTAGCTCTAGAAACTTGCTCTGGGCCTCTATGTCAATGGAAAATGATGAAAGTGATCTAATTAGAATGCTGGCTCTCCTGATAACTAGCAGCTCACCTGTTTGATGATATATGTTAGCTCTTCAATTTCCACTGCTTTATCATCAAAAAGGGACTTGCGCTTTGCCACTGCAGAGACAACAGGAAATTACAACAGATGAGTTAAAAGGCTGGAGATTAGCTTATTGGCAGAGCACATGCAAGACACTGGGTTCAATCCCTAGCACCACAAAGCACACAAACACAGAAAAAGACAAAGCTCAGGGAGCACCCTCTCTGGTTCACTACCACCTCTGAAAGATCCCAAAACACTTACAGATTGTCAGCTTCTCCAGCTTGGCAAATGTGTTGCTGAGGTCTTTCCCAATGCGCCTGCAAACAATCACTAGTGAGAACACCGTGGAAAAGGCAGGAAATAGGCTATTTCCACATTAGTTCTAACAAAACCAATCCCAGCCCTCATGGCCAAGTCACCAGTCTGCATGCTTACTTCTTCCTTGGACATTATATCACCCCACCACAAATCTTATCTCAACTCACTTGGCCATGAGGGTAAATTCACTGCGCTGTCGGGCAGCACGCAGAGCCGGCTTATTTGTTTGGATTCCATTCTGAAAAGCAATGCCAAGAGGTGACAACTTAGCTCCCCACTACATATTTGCAGCTTTCACTGTTCACATGTCCAATAAACTCTTTCTAGTACTAGAGGTATCTACCATCAGATAATTCATATTTATCAGTGGTATTTTAGCCGAAAAGAAGACAAGTAGACCTGGGTTCAAATGCTGACTTCACCACTTAGGAACTGAAAGATTTATGGTAAGTTACTTATTTTGAATCTCTATTTCCTCTTCTACAAAATGAAGACAACCTAACTACTCTTATTACTATTAAGATTACTATTAACATAAGGGCCATAAAGTACTATAGCCAACTGTCTAATACATTGTAAACATTAAAAAAATTTGGGAGAGGGCTGGGGATGTGGCTCAAGTGGTAGCACGCTCGCCTGGCATGCGTGTGGCCCAGGTTCGATCCTCAGCACCACATACAAACAAAGATGTGTCCGCCGAAAACTAAAAAAAAAAATAAAAATATAAAAAAAAAAATTTGGGAGAGAGTAAGAAAGCTAAAAGCTATGAATGAAAGTCAACATGAAACACTGTCAAAGACCCATACAGTTAATTGGGTCAGTAAATGGAAAGGGAACAGAAACTATTAGCAAAATAGTGACAGCAACATTTTATGAGTCACCAAGTGCTCATGCTGCACCTGATACTTCAGATATTAAAATCAGTTTGTTATTGGAAAAAAAAAATTGGCTACTACAGCCACTCTATCCTTGGAATCAGGGAATCAATGAGGAAACTAGAAAGTTCCTGGAGATCACAAAATTCTTGGAGAAAAATTGTTAACAAAAGCTGAAATTTAAAAGTATTTTAAAATACAGTTACTCAGGCTGGGCACCATGGATTATGCCTGTAATCCCAGCAACTCAGGAAGCTGAGGCAAGAGGATCACAATTTCCAGACCAGCCTCAGCAACTTAGTGAGGTCGTAAGTAACTCAAAATAAAAAACAAAAAGGGCTGGGGATGTAGCTCATTGGTAAAGCACCTGTGGATTCAATCCCCAGTACCAAAAATTTTAACAAGTTACTCAGGACTCACTTGGATTCACAAAGTCTTTACTGAAACAAAACTCTAGCTGGACAAAGTAGCACATGCCTGTATTCCCAATTACTATAATCCTGGCTACTCCAGAAGCTGAGGCAGGAGGATCATGAGTTCAAGGGCAGCCCCAGAAACTTAGAGACCCTGTCTCAAAATAAAATTCAAAAAGGGAGAGGGATGTAACTGAATAGCAGAGTGTGTTCCTGGCATGTACAAGGCCCTGGGTTCAATCACCAGTAACACCAACAAAACAAAACAAAACCCTCCAAAGTGATTTTGGTAAAAATTACTGATCTAAAAGACTTCTTTCCTTTCCCTGACCCTCTACTATACACATAGAAAAACTGAGGCCCAATTGGATTAACTAGGTTCCCCATGGTGGCAGAGCAAACTTGTGTAGTACACTAGAATTAGAATCCAAGGTGCATGTGTCTCAACTAAAAGCTCTTTCTAGAACTTGTTCATTATTCAAATACCTTAGTCACCTTTATCCGAGGTATTCCTTCTAGAATAACAATCCTACTACTCTCTAGGGAATTCCTTACCAATTAAAAAAAAAAAAAAAAAGTCTGGGTCCTTGCCTTCCATTAACAAGTCCACTTTTTGTGGCTTAGTAGGTCCTATGGACCCTATCCAACCTGTCAGCATCAGGTTTCCCCAAAAATTATTTCACTTAAAAGTGCTGGAATATACCCCCAACCAGGTTTAGTAGGGCTCATTCTTGCCTTTCCCACTCCTTACCTGACGGCTCTGCAGCGACTTGCAGGCAGACAGGAACTCCTGTGTCCGATCCCGGCAGGACATGGTGTCAGGAAGGGGAGGGACCAGGACCACTGGAGGGGGCAGAGGGGCGATGTCGCTGCTGCTACTGCCAGCAGTTGCAGGGGACAGGACCTGTGTCTTTGAGAGACCCAGGTAGACACCCTGATCCGTGTTCTTAGACCCGTAGCGTTTCCGCGGGATCATTGAGTCGCATAACCTCGGACTGTCGTGAAGGGGAGAGTGTCATTCCCCAGGAAGCCTCCTTCCCCACAACTCCCCCCTCAACTAGCAAATCCTCTGGCCCTTCCTGCATTTGGCAGTCTTTCGCGCCCAAGGCCACCCGCGGATCCTGGGACCTGCCTGCTGTGGGAAAGGGCCTGTTTCCTCCTGGCCCAAGGCGAACCCTCTCAGACTCTTCTTCCAACTTGGCTCAGGCGGCCAGAGCGCGGGCCGGGGTCCTGAAGCCGAGGGAAAGCCAGAGCCCGGTCGGTCTCGTGGCACCAAGGCTCCAGCCTGGCCTGTGCAACTGTCCCGGGAGATAACGGGGCCCTCTCCTATCCGCGATTTCCTTCAACCCCTCAGTGGAAACAGCGAAGGACCCCCGAGAGCGGACACACTTCGGTGGGCGGAGGGGGAAACCTCTAGGTGTTTATTTGAAACAGGAAGTCCCACCCCCTATAAAGTTCCGCCTTCTGGAAGACTGCAACCCCTGATTAGCTAATGCCGACGTCGTTCTCCACAGGGCTTTCCTGGTTGGACGGCGAGGTATTCGCTCACCAGGAGCCCGGCCGGCAGGACTTGCCCGCTCGCCCCCGGTTCCCTTCCCCCCCCGCTCGTCGCCGCCCCCGTGAAGCCACTGTCCCGGAGCTGACACGGCGGCCAAGCCCCTCTTAGAGCGGGTCCTACCTCCTTCCTACCGCCTGCCGCCGCCGTCGCCACTGCCACAACCTCTTCGGCCGTCACCGCCTCCTCCCGGGGCGCTGGAGCCGCCGAAACCCGACCAAAGACTAGGAGCCGCCACGTCACCTACACGTAACCCCACCCCCGTGACGAAGGGCTACGCCACGCCTTTCCCAGCCCGGCGAGCCGGGACACGCCCCCTGCCGACGCAAGCGCGACTCCACCCTCCCATTGGCTAGGCCGACTCCGTGACCCCACCCCTGAGGAGTGAGAGCGGACCCCCGGGGGGGAGGGGGGAAATGAGCCAGGCTCAGGGGAGGAGCCTTAAAGAGCCCAAGGCCCGCGGAGCCGGTTGTAGAGGCACCAGTGCTTGGGCAGGCCCACATTAGAAATTTTATTCTCTGGAGGCTGGGGCGGACGGAGAGCGGGTTTGAGTTCACCCCTTCTCTGGCTCATCCTGGTCCTCCTCTATTGGATACCCCGGCCTTTGAATCTGGTCTGAATGCCTCTTGTTTGATGACCGCGAGGAACCACGACGACTGAACAGAGATAGCCGCCTCCATAGCACGGTGATCAGAAGACTTTCATTAGACTTGGGATTCTGGCGGCCTGGGGAATCCAAATCGGTTTCTGACGCGCCTACGGGGCTGAGGCTAAGCTTAGCCCCACCCTACCCGATCCAACCTCCTTAGTGGGCCCTAAGGGGCACCCCCAGCTCTAATCCCACCTTCCCCAACTTCATCCGACCCGCCATCCTTTCCCTGATCAGACGAGGTCTGAAAATCCTTGTCTTGGCAGCAGCCCATGGCCCCGCGCGGCAAGGTGCTACTCGCGCTACCCTCGCCTGCCTCCCTGGCTCCGGGGCCGCTTTTGTGATGTCAGATATCCCACTGCCTCAGCTCAGGAAGCCCCCACCCCAAGCCACCCCTCTAACTTCTCCTATCACAAAAGGTTCAGATCACAAAAGGTGGGAGTAGAGCTGTTTATTTACAAAATGGGCACGGGGTTTTCAGGGGCTAATGGACTTCTGCTGCTTCTTTTTTCTGTTTGGTTTGGAGAGCTCCTTGGGTCTGGTTCTGATCAGGTAGTTTTCCTCTTAGCAGCTGCCTCCAAGGATGCCCAAAGTTCATCTGTCTCTGTGTCTTCTGAAGGTACCTTGTTGATCTCTTGAGGCTCTTGGGGCTCATCCTGGTGAGTCGAAAGAAAGCTCAGGGGTCAAAAAACAGGGAAGCTCTAGCTGGGAATCAATTCCTCTGGGCACCAACACCACCTATATCTCCCAGAAACCACGGTCACCATGCTCTGCAGTGTATCACCCTTTATGATAACCCTGTCAGAATTGTAACTGTTAACACCCCACAGAGAGAAACTGAGTGGCATAGCAGTCCTAGATCTGTGTTCCAGCTGCCTTCTTTTTCCTTTCCATAGGGAAATCCTCACATCCATGCCCTTAGCTCCTACTTTCCCAGACCGGACTGCTCACCTCCCAGGTATCCCTGCCAGACAAGAGGAGGCAATTCAGTCGAGACTTCAGATAAACCTGCAAAAAGAGGAGGGACCTTGTAGGGCCCGGGCAGGCTGAAATACATAGAAGCATCAAGGGGTGAGGGCCAGAAAGTTTGAGCTCCCACCTTATGCTCCAGGCCTCGTGGATTCCGGATCCTGTGTATCCTCAGGACTCTGTCTAAGCCACAAGAGGCTAGTAGGGGCTTTGAAGGGTGGCACTGCAACCCACGGACACTGCCTGCCAGTCCCTTCAGACAGCCCAGTAGGCGCCCTAAAGAAAGCAATGGCATTGGTGCTAGCTCGCCAGCTAATCACCGTTTATTCAGTGTTTACTGTTCAGACCACTTTCTATTTTAACGTTTAATCCTCAATATAACCAAGAGTTACCAATAATATTTCTATTTTACAGGTGAGGAAACTAGGGCACAGGAAGTTAAGTAATTAGTTCAAGGTCATACAGCTTTTGTTGAAACAGCATGTGAATCCAGGCAATCTGATGTCTCCATGAGGGTGCAATGAATCCCTATACTACCTGTTAGAGGGAACCCTGACTTTTTCCCTTCCCCCAAATCCCCTAGTCCACTCACCTTGTCGAAAGTCAATTTCTGCCAGTTGTCCATGAGTGTTCCCTACGATAACAGAGCTGAGAAGACCAGAGGCAAGGGGTCAATAGGAATCTCTTGAATCCTTCCCAAGCCCCACTCCAACCCCTCTAATCACTCACTTGTCCCCAGGAGTGAGAGTCATGGCTGTCAGTGGGTACTCGCCATACGTGGTCTCTAGAACTGGCCGGCGCTGGGGAGAGGCTGGATCATAGACTCGGACCTAGAGAGGAAAACTGAGGCATCACAAAAGCATCCTTGCCCTGCATACTGCCTCCTGGCATCTCTGTATGTTCATCCTTTCTTCTGAGCACTGCTTTCTTGTTCCTGACCCACCCTCAGAGAAATGTTCTCATTGGAAACACAAATCTGAGTGTTGCTGGGGTGAGCAGAGCTGCTCAGGAGCATGAATGGATAGGGATAATGGGGAGAGGTCCTCCACAACAGGGAATGTGAGCATTCTGTCCCTCCATTCTCCCATCTAGGAGTGGAGGAATGGAAAAGCAAGTTGGTCCAATAATCAGAGGGAGCTGAATTTCAAGCAGACATTTAGCATGAATGAGGGAGGAGCAAGGAAGTCCCTGTAAGTAGATTAAGCAGAAGTATGTCATCAAGATCATTCCTAAGTTTCAAATAGTGACCCAGTGCTCCCTGGGTTTCAGGGCTTCCAATGAGACAAGCCATAAAGATCTCTAATAGAGCCTTTCAGGCAAAGCTGAGGAGCTGAGGCAGGAGAGGGGAGGGCAGGCCTGTGTCCCAAAGCAAATCAGAGAAGCTTTGGGACCAGAATTCTCTTTTTTGACACCCAGCCCAATGTCCATCCTTGACACTTGTGCCCTGTGGAACCCACTGTGAAGGGGACACTCCCTTCTCTTTCTCTTTCACATGGGAGAAATAGAGCTGTGGTTGAGCACATTCATCCTAGAATGCAGTAAAGGAAGGCCACAGGCTAGCACCAAGGCTCAGATGGATGGGGAGGTGTACACTCTCCTGAGAGCTCCGGAGGGAAGAAGGACTGAGAAGTGGCTGTGCCACACCACAGCAGCCCATTTTGCCCATAGTAGCTGTTTTATTAAGAAGCTGCCTCAGCCCAGGTATGGGCAGGGATGAAATGGTGCCTCACCTGGTGGTACCCTGTGCATGTAATGAGCTTCTGTGATCCAGGGAGGAACTGTATATCCTGGTCCCAGATGGGAACCCGAAGGTCTAGCCAGTCATTCCGCACCTGGTGTTAAAGGTGAACAGGGGATAGGATGGAGGTAGGTTCGAAGTGCTACCAGTTTTAGCCCTCCTTTATCATCCCCTAAAGTCCATCTGGTCTCTGATCAGTAAGTAGCTTCAGATTCCCTATCCCATCACTCACATTCTTGGCCCTGAACACAGGCTCCTCAGATCCCTGCAGGTCCCACACCTTCAAAGCATTCTCCTTCCCACCTGTGGCAACTATATGGGGTCGTGCTGGGTCTTGGCGCATCCTACAAACCCCAGGACCAACCCTCAATTCCAGAAGCTGAAAAGAATGAGAGATGAGTCAGTTCCAGAGTTCTTAATCTTTCCTCCCCCAAATCCCTCATTAGGCTCCTAATGCTAACTTTCACCCTCCCCAACCATCAGAGTAGGGAACCTTACTGGGTCAGAGGATGCTTCCTTATCATTGTCACGCCAGACTCTAAGTATGCCAGAATCTACACACGTGATGAGGGTGCTGCAAACAGGGAAGATACAGTTGGGATTTAAAAAAAAAAAAATGTGTTCTCCAGGCCCCAGCTGACACACCTCTAAATTCCTGTTAACTAGACCCCATCCTAACAGCCCAGTTTATATGCTTCACATATGCCAGGCAAGCGCTCCACCACTGAGCTACAGCCCCAGCCCCCAACCTCAAGATACCTGGGGTCTATGCAGGACCTAACAGCATCCAGTTTACCTGTCAACTCAATTTAGTCAACAGGCAGGAGGTTACCAGTTTTATGAGGAAACTGGAGGCTCTGAGAACTTAAAATATTTGCCACTCAGCTAGGACTGAAAATCAGACCCAGACCTGGAAATCAAATTTGTGATACTTCAAAGCAGAGTTCTTTTCCTATTCCTCAGCTAAGTTGGGGTACCTAGCCTTTATGGTCTTCCTGATTCTTGAGTTGGTTCCTAATGGAGTTGGAGTGGGAGTGGGGTAGGTTCAGGATCATTATCTCAGAAAGGACTGAAACAAGACTCATCCAGTGGTCAACCATTGACCTACCCCAGGTTCTATTCTTTGTGTGTGTGTGTGTGTGTAGTTGTAGATGGATAGCATGCCTTTATTCTATTTTTATGCAGTACTAAGGATTGAACCCAGTGCCTCACATATGCCAGGCAAGTGCTCTATCACTAAGCTACAGTCCCAGCCCCCAGGTTCTATTCTTGAGTTCCCTGTTTTTTGGGTTCTAATGTCAGCCTCTCCCTCAAATCTCTCCCAAGAAACCCAAGGTATTCTCTTCCCAGTATCCACACAGCCTCGGCCTACATTCATCTTCATATCTGCCCACCCTCTCTTCCTGGGTTCAGGCTCTGTATTATTTGCCTGAGCCCTGGCAAGAGTCTCCTAATTGCTTTCTCCAGTCCTCTACACTCCTACAGGCTCTTAGCTCCACAGCATTTCCCACTCAAAGCCCAATAATTCCCACCATCTACAAAATGAAACTGCAAATCTCTCAACCTAACACTTAATACATTTAAAATACATTTAAAGCCAGTCATGGTGGTACATGCCTGTAGTCCCAGCAGTTTAAGAGATTGAGGCAGGCGGATCACCAATTCAAAGCCAGCCTCAGCAAAAGCAAGATGCTCAGTGAGACCCTGTCTCTAAATAAAATACAAAATAGGGCTGGGGATGTGGCTCAGTGGTTGAGTGTCCTGGAGTTTGATCCCTGATACCGACCACCCCACCGCCCCACTCCCGCCCCTGCCCCCCCCCCCGAAAATTCTACCCATCTTTCAAGTTTCAGTTCAAAACCACCTTGCCCCACGGAACCTTTCCAGACCTCACTTGTCAGAATCAACACTACCACCAAACAAAAGCAGCCTGTCCACAGCCTTCTTTCTTCATCTTGGGAAAAGGCTTGGCCAATTACCTAAACATCAGACCTTCCTATCCTTTATTCTGGGAGCTTCATCACCTTGCTGGTGGTTCGCTCCCATTTAAACGCTTGCTCAAAACCATTAAATGACTTGCCCAGCATTTTGAGCAGAAAGTCACACTGGATCTCAGAGGGAAAACCCAAAGGATGCACACTTAAGGAAGGCAGAAACTTCACCCGCAGCCCTTGCTCTTTGAGTAAGGAACTCAGTAGATATTCAATAGATGTTATAAGAATGCACGAACTGAAGGCAGGAACCCAGGTCCCCGTCACCCAACTCAGGTCCTTGTCACCTAAGAGTGTAACGACATTATTCCGTCGTCCTAGGAGCCTCGACGCTCTCCCTGAGCCCTGAGCGTTCGGCGAGGGGACCTGACTTACCCGTCGGCTTGGGCGAGGCCTCGGAAAGAGCCCTCCCCTCCCGGACAGTGCCTCTGGCCCTGGAACGTGCCCTCCTCGGTGTTGAAGTGCCTCACCTTTCGGTCCGCGCAGCCCACCAGGATCTGCAGACAGAGGGGGCGTGATGTCCAGGAGAGCGAGGCTTCCGCCTCGCGGCCCCCAACTCCGGCGCAGCGAGGGCCA